AATAATAATAATAATAATAATAATAATAATTAAATAACTAATAATAATAATAGAATATGGGACTCTCAATTTCTTAAGTAGTGTCAATTTTTTGGACCTTTATGATCCTTTAGCAAATAATAATAATAATAATAATAATAATATATAGAAAAAAAATTGGGACCTTAAGTTTTTGGAGTCGGGCTAAGTTGATTGAAAAAAGGGGTACGAACATAGCAATAAAAATTCAAGGAAGATTTTTATAAAGAAAAAGGATACAAACATAACTATAAAACTTTAATGATCTCTATATGGGTGCAGTTTGTATAGAGCCGGGACTCTAAACAATCTTCGAATAGTGTTGAGTAATGTGGTTTCATTACTAGAAATATTTGTGAGAGCCTTAAAATGTATTTTCATCTTTAATAATAAAATTTAAAAGCCTCAAAAATAGTGTAGATCGAGCATATCTATAAAAACTTGAAAATCTTGAAAATTGACTGTCCAAAAGTACGCTACAAGATGCACTATTTCCAAAACTTGAAATCCATTTTTTGCTCATATCTATGCATCTTGATGTCGAGATGATCAATTTGAGGATATTGGGGCATCAAAACAACCTCTTCTAGTTTTGTGGTAGGTTCTAATTTGATTGTTTGGAACCTCAGCTCTATATAAATATTTTCTTTTTTATATAAGAATTCGGAGGATATATACATAAATTTCTTTAAAATTTTATTGAGGCCAAGAGTTGAATTTGACTGTTGGCCACAAAAGTCACTCAAAAATGTTGGGATAGTCTAGGGTGTAATATAAAAATGAAGGTCACTTTTAGTGTGGAATGCTAGGTATGCTTCTAGGAAATCTCTAGCCTACTATGATTTTCTTTTTTGCTTTTTTTTTTTTTGGGTAATTTGTTTTTGCTAAGTAAGCATACCATTAATTCGATGTGGTGACATGTCAACTACAAAGAGTTCATTTTCTTATTTAGAGATAAGGGTGCCTATATAGTGGTCCCGTGGGACCAAATTAGACATTTGGCCAGGCAGCCAAAACTCAGTGTACATGGTCCATTCGTGTGACCTAAGGCACTCTCCAAATATATCAATTAAAAAAATCATTGATTTCGAGCTGAAATTCCCTAGATCTAAAGTCTTATCAAAATGGATGGTCCAGATTCAATCTTGGAGTAGAGCTTGCATTGGGTCAATTTTGAGCACTCAATCCGTTTACTTTGTACTCGATTACAAGTGGTGGTTGGGTCCCTTTCTCAATTTGAATAGATTTTCTAAGGTTTTCCAAGTTATGGTACATGTTAAAAATTTATTGAAAAGCAAGAACTCAAATTCAAGCAGGTTATTTGGTCTCATTTGACTTCAATTAAGGCACCTCCTGAGTTTTGGATCTCACAATTTTGAAGTGAAGAAAAAGGAAGAAAGAGAGAATCCGAAATTTATCTTGTCTGAGAAATTAATTGGTGTAATAAAATATCGGAACCACCTTGGCGTCATAGATCCATGTGGTTACAGGTGATGGAATTAATATCATATCGTCTTTAGTAGTAAGTTTTCATCTTGTGTATTGTATAGAGAGGCGAATGGGGTTGCAGATGATTTGGCAGAGAAGGGTGTATAGTTGGAATCATTGTTAATTTATTTCTTCAATTTTATTCTGATATATGTGTTGTAATTCCATGAAAAGTAAGTACTCTTGTCAAAAGAAGTCTTGTATGAGAAACCTAATCTTTGATAAATCTTTGGGAATGAGGTCCCACAGATCCATGCTCTAAGGAAAATCTGTAGTGTAAATAAGTCGACTGCTAGAAAGTTGGGAGCTAAACAGTTTCTATTTTTTTAAGGGTGCGGTTCGTGTAAAGTGAGGCTTTAAACAATCATAGTAGAGTGCACCTTCAAACAATGTCGAGAATGTGGTTTCAATACTGGAAATCTTTGTGGTAGCTTTAAAATCTATTTTCATCTCTAATTATAAAATTTAAAGCTTCAAAAATAGTATAGATCGAGCATATATATGAAAATTTGAAAATCTTGAAAATTAACCGTCCAAAGATGCATGCACTATTTCCAAAACTTGAAATCCATTTTTTTTCTCATGTCCATATATCTTGATGTCGAGATAAAAGCCTCAAAAACCCATCTAGTTAAATTTTTGATGTGCGCTCTAATTTGATTGTTTAGAGCCTCCTCTATATAAACTTTTTCCTTTTTTAAAAGTAGTTAAAGTCTATGTAGAGGGGATAGTTAGTGGAAAGTGGAAATGATGGTCAAGGAATCGATCTTGTCTTAGAAAAAGTGCTTGGGCTTAATTGGTTAGTGCTTGACGATTTGCAACGCTATGTCCTAGGCTCAATTCCTATAAAGGGTAGGGGCCCTCTCCCCACTGACTTTGACCAAAAAATCGATCCTGCCTTTGTGGAATGATATAACTTGCTTGATCACTTTCATGCAACATATGATGGTTTCCTCAAATGTCGTCTTTTTATCATCATCATCTGAGCCTAATCACAATTATTTGGGGTCAGCTAAATATTTCCTCTACGATGTACAAATAATTACTCTTTCCTCAATAAATAGATAAAACCTTATTGACATTAAAGAGGAATGAGGAGAAAAAAGGCCTTCGATTGGGGTGTGTAAATGGATATGGGGGAGTATAGAATGTAATCAAATACATGTAAGAAAGTAGCTTGGATCCCCTGGAATACCCTGGTGACTAACCACAATTTTAGATAATTCAAGACTTGCTAAACTGGGATGGGATCCAAGTATCACGCTGTCAAAGGGAAATGAATATTGAGGTTGATGTATAGGAGGGAGTTGGATACCCATTTTTGGTAGCCAATAAGCTTTGAGAATTTTATAGCCCTAGTGACATTTTAATCCTTTGTTTACTTGAATAAAAAGTTCCTAAGTTACTACTAAGAACAAGAGTTACTTATACAGAAATCTAACACACAAACACATACGCACACTCATATAATGTGTTGTGATAAATCCAAAATAATTGTAGAAAAATAGAAAATATAGATATCTAAATTATAAAGAAACTTAAAATGTACATGTTACTTTTCTTTTTGTATTTCAAAATAGTGTTTCCTTGGATGTAGATAAATAAAATAAAGAAATGTATCTAATAAGACACCCTCTTTTTTTCTTTTTCTTTTATTAGGAGGGGGGGAGGAAATACCATTTCAGGGATCAGAACCCTTGCAAAATCATTAAGGAAATTTCCCAATTAGCAATAGAGGACTTTTTAATTTTCATTTCACTAAATTGCCTCCTCAAAAACTATATTAAAAATACCTAATTTGCCCTTATTCAAGGTTACGAGCCCTAGACAAGTAGAGGCATTTTAGTAATTTTACCAACTAAAAACATGCAAAGGGACTTTAATCACTTAGTTGGAACATCTTCAATGGGTTAAATTACTTGTTCAAGGTTCCAACCCTGACCGGAAACAATTTGAATATCTTTTAAAGAGTTTTTAGAGGAGGCATTTGAGTGAAAATTAAAAAGTAAACCCTCTTATATTAATTGGGATGTTGAAACCCTTAATTATTTCAAAATGGATTTCAACCCCTCACATAATATTTTCCGTTTTTTGGGTACAGTGCACACCGCACCCGGCCTTGTTCACATCTGGCATCTATCCGAAAAGTAACTGGACTAATTGTATATGATCCCACAAAATAATTTTCAATTTTGCAACCTGTGTTATCCCCATTTGGTGTGCTGAGTGATATAATGCTTACCTTTACCTCAAAAGGGAGAGTTCAAATCTTTTCACAGCACAAATTACATATGAAGTGTTTATATAACGGTTTTCTGGTTTTCCTTGTAGCAACCCAAAAGCCTTCCTGCTGTCTTCTACCACATTTTTCATATGAGGGAGAGAGTATGAAATATGCACCCAAAATGTGGAACTGCAAAGGGCAAAACATAAATAACGAATCAAACTTCAATAATATAAGAACAGAACTTCAATAATATAAGCATGAATGTTATTTCCTACCCATCACTCACATGAGAGTATCAAGGCAATCTGTGTCCAAAGCCCCACATTTTGTGATTGCATGCATCTATGTGCTTTGGCTTTCACTGAGGTTTAACAGTGGGAAACTACTGGTTATATCCTCAGGGTGGTGGGATGACAATTGCTGATGGATCACCTTGAATTTCTCTTTGAGTCTCTGAATCTGCAGATCATGGTGCATAGCTCAAATGTTGAGAGAGAGAGAGAGAGAGAGAGAGAGAGAGAGAGAGAGAGGATAAATCATACCCTTTTAAGCTCTATCTCGGTTTCTCTTTTTCTCTGTTGAAGCGAGTGTCTTAGGTGCATGATATTGAACACACTATCCAAGTCATCTTCAAATGCAGATTCCAAGTCTTCTCGCAGAAGTGCCGGCAACTTGTCGATTACTGGCATGAGGAGGAAGCAGTTGAACTGCAGTCCAAAATATTCCTATCAATGAGCTCTCTGAAGTTCCATTTACCTCGTTCTATTGTAGCAACACCAAGTATAACATCTAGATCGTTTTTTAGCTGTTATTAAACGGGGTTGGATACTGACACTATTCATCTTTGTTACAAGGAGGTCACAATTGCTCCAATCCATTAGTTGTTAAATTGCATGGCTTGGGATGCATCACAAGATTCGACAATTTTTTTTCTTTGATATTTGAGTTTTCTCAATGATACACTCGTAGCCACTCGATTTAAAATCTGATGGACAAGAGTGATTGCAACCTCCTTGCATCAGAAGTACTTGCATCAGAAGTAAATGGTCTCTTTGTATACTTGTCCGTATTAAAAAACAACCTACAACAAACAAGAGTGCAATTCCCTATCAATGAAATTCTCAACAAATTATATAATTGCCTTTAAGAAATAGATTTCATATATATCTCCCACATTAAAATACAAAACATACTTTTTCCAAAAACTCTCTCTCAAGAGAGATGTATTGAATAAAGGAGTAGGAATTGTGGTCAGTAGATGTTCATCATGTTCCTCTTAATGCATTAGACTGTGAACCATGCCTTCACTAGATAAGACAACTAGATCATGCATAAGCCAATGTATTTTAATTACTTCATGAGTATATCAATCCAATTAAATGTGAAGTAACTGAAGCCCACAACCAAGATGTGGTACAGATTATAAAGTGGTGAACCATCTGCATAATACATCAAAAACTTAAAAGCCCAAAGTCGGTGTAACACAGATTTTTCATGGACCTAGTGCACTTCATAGTGTGACATGCCCTTTTCCACATTGACAGCCATGGTATAAGACTCTTGGTTATGGAATTTTTTTAAATCCTGGACAAATTGTAGGAATATGGTTAAGACACCAAAGACTATTTAACACTCATTTGTCTACCTCCATTGTACAGTAGAGAGGTATTGAGATCTTGACTACATATTATTATGACAGACAATCGCATTCATTAGCCATATGATACCCAAGTGTGTAATTTGATTGGTTGAGTCAAAGGAATGATATGGAAAGTTGTAAATTTGTAGCAAAGCTTTCTCAAACCAGATGTTTTTGGCTCGATTACAGCTAACGAAACACCCCAGAAAACAATCTAGCTGGAGAGGTAGAGGAAAGAAAAACTTCGACTGTAGAGAATTGAATATATTTGCATTGGAACATTCTTCACGAAAGCTCGAAAACATTTGTTAGCCAATTAGGAACAAACTCTTTCTTTCATCTAGCAGTTTGCATTCATCATACTTTTGAAAGATCATGAAGTCCATAGAACAAGTCTAGGTTTGTAGGGCAAACAATGCAACCTGAATCATCAGTAGAAACACCCATAATCACTATGAATATAACAAGTGAAACTTTTGATAACTTTGCTTCTTTTCTTTCTTTTTTTGGTCTTTTTTTGTTTTTTTGTGGGGTTTGTGGGGCAGGGGGCGGGTTTCAATTGCTAACCACTCAAGCCAAAGCCCAATTCCTAAAAACCTTTTGATAGCTTTTCATTTAAAGAAAATGAATCAGATCAAACTTAATAAGTTTTTCCTTTAAAAAAAAACAAATGTAAACAAATATTAGCAATTGCTAATGGGTCAAATACTGCCACTAAAATAGAAGTCAGAAAAATATCCACGCAAAAGAATAAATTTGTTAGGGAAATTTTTTTGTGAAGACAAAGGAGGACATACAAACCTTTAATTCTGAGGATGCCAGAAAATGTTCTCTTATCCCTTGAAAAATTTGCTGTACCAAAGCATATACAATCCTTTCAGATGAAGGTGCAAGCCTCCGATTCCATAGGGTGCTGTCAAGAAGGTCAACGAGTCTTGTCTCAGGTGTTTGAAGACAAGTATTTGATTCAAGTCCTGGAATTAATTGGTTAAGTCTTGCATCTACCCTTGATTTATTATCATGCCTGTTATCACTCATGCCCGATCCAGCCAAAGAATCTATAGAGGCAGCAGCTGTACTTGTCATGGATGACCCATTTGGGATAGAGTGTTCACTACTGGCAAATGAATCTAAGAACTGCCTTAATCCAGCACGATTCTGCATAAAAATAGTATTCACTTAAGCGGGGAATGGTGAAGAAAGCAATCAGTCAATCACAGCATCATAAACAGGATATCAGACCTTATTATGAAGGGACCAAGTAACGTAACGTGTAGTGCTCACTAGATCCTCCATACATCTGCAAATTAGTCCATCATGCCACGCATCAATGAACTGACAAAGCCATGATCTAAGACTATTAAAAGAAATTTGGAACTTGTTAATTTAGAACGAGAAAAAAATTATGAACCATGGTCTACAAAGGAAGCACCTTCCACCACTCACTTTTAAATTATCAATCCACTGATTTTGATTGTTCCACTTCGAGCATGTGGCAATGCTGACAGAACAATTGACTGGACCAGTTGGGAGGATTAATTAAAAAAATGAGTGACCAAATGTGCTCCTATATGAAATATTCCTTTATTTCGACAGTGTTTCAATATTAAAAAGAGAAGTTACAATGCAGTAAAATAACGATCGAAAATATATGAGTTGTACCATGACTGTAAGTGGAGTACAACTAAAATGTAAGTCTAGGATATATATTTAGGAATTTGCGACCTGTCGTATTTGATAATGCCTTTAAACACTACATGCAAGGTATACTTTGGTCTTCCATTTTCTTAGATTGTAGACATTATAATGAAGGCTCCTAGGCCTTAGCCTCTTACCTTATGTTTCCTAGCATTTGTTTGAACATCATATACAGTTTTAGGATTTTGAAGTCTAGGGAAATATCATTTCCTTGATTTGAACCCCAAGAAGATGTTACTCAATTCCCAGTTCAGGAATCCAAGCTACGGTATGCAGTTAATATTGACTGGTGCTCCTCAATCCCATAAAATTCTTTCTAGTGTTTGCATTGTTCCCAAATTATCTTTACAATCGTTTCACTTGGGAGTTGATTAACCAATATCATGTTGTTGTTTTTTCTTCATGAGGTTTGTTATCCCTTCAACGAGGAAGCTGATAGGTAGAGGCCATTACTCCAGCAGACTCTTCCATGTGGAGACCAATAATGTTCCCTGCCTTCACCAGAGTGTCAAGCCATCATTCAAGTCCCCAAAATTCCAAACATATTTTCTCATCAACCTAGCTTCTAGTGTGCTCATCTTAGTTTAAGCATCCATGAACCTTGCTTCCAATAGACTGCTAGCTTACTTCACTAAATTTCAAATGTAACAATCAGATGCAAGTGCAGTCTTCTTGCCTTTTATCATATCTTGAAGAAAGTAACCACCACTCAATTTCATTTGGTTTATTCTACTGCTTAGGGTCCTATTCACAGCAAAACCATCTCTCGATTATTTTACTTTTGTTGATATCTTTTATTTTCTTTTTCAATAATTAACTTTTGAAGGGTTTTCTTGCTGACTTGGGTTCATTTCATGAAACAAAAATAAGATGAGCACAATGATGAAGCAATTCTGATTTGTTCCATTTCATAAAAGACATGAAAACATCTGTTGAAAGATAGCAGTAAGTTAGGGACATAAATGTAACATCCGATGAAATAGGGTTACGTGAGTTATTAACTTACACAAGGGTATTATGTATAACTTTTCCTTATCAGAAATAATATAAATACATGACTAATCCAAAGAGAGGTCACATCACTTGTTTCCGCTTTTTTCTTTCTCAGGCACTTCACTCTCTTCTCTCCCTTTTTCTCATGCACCTCTCTCGTTCATATTATTCTTCTTCCTCTTCACATCTTCTCTCCTCCCCCAAATATTCATCTAATACTCGCTGATTAGCATAGATCTAGATTTTATCTTTCAACTTCGCATCAAAGAAGGGTTAGATCCGAAGAAATGAGAGTCAAGGGGTGAAACTCTGGCCATATAGCTACTGGTTTTAGCAATACAGCTAGGCAATGGAAAAATGATCAGCAAGAAAAGACCCTAACAGATCTCTCTCTCTCTTTCTCTCTCTCTCTGTAAGATCATGGTGAGAACTGAAAAGTGTCATTTTCTACGATTGGTTCTTAATTTGATCTAGTTTTTAAAGAAAGCTGACAATTTTTTTAAGGTTGGTCCCCAAAACTTCGGGTTTTTCATGATCCATTGAGGGGTGATGATCGACCAGGTTGCATCATTAGATCTATTAAGTTTTATTTTTCGGGGATTGATAACAACTGCTTAATGTGTATCGAATAGCTTTACAGCCATGTTACTTCTGAAACTTGTAGCCTCAACTGTGTAATCGACTAACCAATGCACTGTGTAGTGCTTTTGGTGTTTACAGATAGTTAGAGAGAAATCTGAGGTTGTATCCAGATTTCATTAACATTTGTAATCTGTTTTTTGCCTTGGAAAAGTAACACTGTCATAGCAAACATTAAATATGGAGTACTTTTGGACTTCAACTCACTATGGTTAAATTTGAAGGTGCAAACCATTTGAAATGGACCAGATCTGTAAGGTTATTCCTCAGAGGTAGGAAAACATTGGGTTATATTTGATGGTCATATAGTGAAAATAAATGTAAAGGAAATAAATGTAAAGGAATAATCTTATGCTGATTGGGAAGCCGATGAGATGATGGTATGAACTAGATTTTAAACTCTATGCAACCGAACTTGAGTCACACTCACACATTTATGAGTTGTAATACTTCAAAGGGGTTATGGGATGCAATGACTGAAGCCTACTCACAGCAGAAGAATATAACAAAAATCTATGAGTTGGAGCAGCAAATCAACAATTTCAAACATAAAGTTGTATCATTTAGTGATTATAATGTTGGCCTACAAGGTTTTGGGATGAACTAAATCACTATCAACCCATAAACTACTATCATTGTCCAAAAGAGCATGGAGAAAGGGGAACAGAAGAAGATATTTGATCTTTTAGGGCTAAGATATTTGATCATTTTGCGCGTCCTAATCCCAAAGATGAGAATATCAAATCTGATATTTTGGGTGGTGAAACTTTATCATCACTTGGAACATGTTCCCCCCCACCAACGTGAGGAAACTCGAAAGTTATGGCTAAGTCCATTGGTGAACCTAAAAGATCTGCCCTAATTTCCAATTCTTCGAATAATCGTGGTGGTCGTTGTAGTGGTGATCAACGTGGGGGACATAGCGGTGGTTGCAGGAGCCTCACACATGATGAGAAGGATAAGCTAAAATGTACCCATTGTGGAAAATCCTGACACGATAAGGAAACATGTTAGGATCTCATTAGGCACCCTATGCGCAATACAACATGGGCTGATGCAGCTATGACTATTGAGGAGACTAGTCATCCTGTGTCTTGAAAACAAGTTGCTATTGGTCATTTACTTTGTGACTAACCGGAGGATGAATTGGTGATCATTTGCAAGCGAGGGCTTTCTATCTTAAGCAGTGTGCCTTCATTTATGATGAGCCCTCTTCTTTCTCCAAGCTACATCTCACCCAATCAGGTATATCTACATGTACACACCATGTTTTCATGACTCCTCAAGCTCCTAGGATTATTGATTCAGGAGCCATTGAACATATGATTGGTACGTGCAATCTCTTTTCTAGTCATGCTACCTATACAAAGTCTAATCAAGAGCCTGTCAACATAGCTGATGGACCACTTCTACCCATTAAAGGAAAATGGATTGTTCCAGTAACTTCCTCCATAGATTTGTTGCTCACTTTGCATGTTCGCAAGTTGTCTAATAATCTTCTATCTGTTAGTAATCTCACAGAAACTTTGAATTGTTGAGTAACCTTTTTGCCGTCTTATTGCGTCTTTCAGGACTTGGTAACGAGGAAGACATTTGGGCATGATTGTGAGGATATACCTTCTAAAGATGCCGAAACAGGCTCCTATAAAAACAAACACCACTGCCTCGTCCTTAATTGTTAATAAAGAATGGAAGTACTTGTGCACACTCGTCTTGGTCATGCTCCTCTTTCTATTTTGCATTCTTTGTCTCCTAAAACATCTTCTTCGTTGGGTCAAGTTCAATTACAATGTGAGATTTGGCCATTATAAAAACATTGTACATTTGGATATGTGGGAACCTTCCCCAATTGTATGAGTTTTGGGATTTCCGTTTCTTTTCTTTTTTTGGTTACTTTTGTGGATGATTGGACTAAATTGACCACCTATTTAATGAAAAATAAGGATGAAGTTGTGGATCTTTTTCAAGTTTATCATCAAATGGTAAGAAGATAGTACAATGCAAGTACTAAAGTACTTCATTCTGATAATGGCGGTGAATATGTCTCTAAGGATCTTAGTAATTATCTGAGGTAGCAGGGTACAAAGTTCTAGACAACATGTTCTTACACTCAGCGAAATGGAGTTGTCGAGAGAAAAGATCGACACTTGTTGAAAGTCACTCGGTCTCTCTTGTCTGGAATGAAGTTCCCAAAAAGCTTATGATCCAAAGCTGTTTTTACCGCGGCGATCTTGATAAACCATATGCTATCGAGGGTTCTTCCAGCAAGGCACCTATCTAAACACTTCTTATTGACTCTCCTTTGTTCCTCAGACCTCCCAAAGTTTTTGGAAGCGTGTGTTTTCTCCATGTTGGAACCTAAAATCCATTAAGTATGCCTTCTTAGGGTATCTAGGAAATAAAAAAGGTTCGAATCCATTAAGTATGCCTTCTTAGGGTATCTACTAATAGAGTTTGTTATGTCTCTATGGATGTTAACTTATTTGAATCCATTCAATATTTCGCCTTGGCTGGACAACAATGCTCTCTTCAGGGGGAGAACATCAGATAGGAAGAGAGCGGTCCATCAACTGACTCTGCCTTTTTCAACTCCCTTCATATCTGAAATGTCCCAAATGAAGATGGAAATGCTCCAGTTGCATCCACCGAGGAGCTGAAAACATATCTTCAAAGAAAGAATTTCGAAAAACCTGAAGTCCAGAATGATCATGACTCAATTGTCAACTCGGAACGAGGTACTAACCCTTCTCATCCTATCATTTCCTCAACTCCCAGTTCATCCCCGATGTCATACCTTGACTTATATATTGCATTATGTAAAGCTAAGTGTTCCTGTACACAATATCCTATAAGCAACTTTGTTTCTTATAATGCCGTGTCACCATCTTATCGTGCTTTCCTATCATAATTGTCTATTGTTAGCATTTCATCCAGTGTAATAGAGGGTCCATCACAAACTCAAAGTACAGCTGCAATCTGGGAAGAAATGCACACTCTTGAAAAAAAATGCTTGGGAACTCACTAAACTTCCTAAAGGAAAGAAGGTGATAGGATGCTAGTGGGTGTTTATAGTGAAATACAAGGAGAATGGCATGACTGAAATATACAAGGCGTGGTTGGTTGCAAAGGGTTTCACTTTGACAGATGATATAGATTACGAAGAGACTTTTGCACCTGTATTGAAGTCAAATATTGTTTGAATCATTCTCTCCTTAGCTGCAAATAAATATTGGCCCACATTAGTTATATGTGAAAAATGGCTTTTGACATGGAGATCTTCATGAGGAAGTATATATGGCCATGCCTCCACGATTTCAGCTTCAGGGAGAGATAGGTAAGCTGTGCAGATTAAAAATGGTGAAATGTGCACTTATACAATCGTCATGAGCCTGGTTTGAAAAAATTTAGTTAAGCCTTGCTTAAAATTGGGTTTAGACGGAATCAAGCTGATCATGCATTGTAAAATATTGTTGGGATTACAACACTCATAATGTATGTCACTAATATTGTAATAGCAAGGGATAGCTTAGTAGATATTGAAGATCTCAAGTGTTACCTCAGTAATGTGCCTGATATAAATGATTTGGGTCCACTCAAATATTTTCTGGGTATTGAAGCGGTAAGGTCAAAGAAGGGATTTGCTATTTCTTTGAGCACATAGACCTGTTAAAACAAACCGGAATGTTGGGAGCCAAACTGATTGATACACCTATGGAAACCACTCATAGACTTCATAAGAGATGTAGAGTTACTAAAGGACCCTTGTCAATACTAGAGGTTTGCGGACAAGCCCATATACCTCATAACCATGACCAGAAATATCTAAAGCGGTTAGTGTAGTTAGTTAGTTCATGAATGGTCCTTGAAAAACTCTTTTAGATGCTATCAAGTCATCTCTTGGAGAGATTTGTTGTTTACTAATCATTGGTCATATAGGTCTTACAATCTATATGGATGCAGATTAGGCTAGTACACATATTGATAGAAAGTCAACTATGGATTATTGTACCTTTGTTGGTGGTAATCTGGTTTCATGAAAGAGTAAAAAACAGAACGTGGTGGTCATATAAACTGCTGAAGCTGAATACAAGGCCACGATACATAAAACATATGAAGTTATGTGGGTGAAAACTATATTGACTGATTTGGGAGTTAAAGTCCAATTACCTATGACCCTTGACAACAAAGAGGCCATTCACGTTACCAAGAACCCCGTATTTCAAGAGACAAAAGCATATCGAGGAAGAATGTCATTAACTAAGAGAAACAATTGCAGCCAAAATTATTTGTACCCCTCATGTGAAATCGTGCCAAGCTGGGTATGATTAATATCTACCCTCCAGCTTAGGGGGACTGTTGAAATTATAGCAATAAGTTAGGGACATAAGTAGAATATCTGATTCAATATGCGTGAGTTATTAATTTACACAAGGCTTTTTTGTAATTTTTCCTTATCAGAACATAATGTAAATGTGTGACTAATCCCAAAGAAGGGTCACATCACTTGTTTCTCCTTTTTTATTTCTCATGTGCTCCTCTGTCTTCTCTCTCTCTTTCACAAATATCTATCCTTCAGTCTTCATCGTATTCTTCTTACTCTTCACATCATCTTTCTCCTCACCCAAATATTCATCTGATACTTGCTTAGTATAAAATCTCTATCCTTCATTCTTCATCTTATTCTTCTTACTCTTCACATCATCTTTCTCCTCACCCAAATATTCATCTAATACTTGCTTATTATAGATCTGGATTATATCTTTCAACTATATCGAGACAAGCAACATATCATGCAAAAACCCTTTGTATCAATGCTTTTTAGCAATATAAGGAGAATATAAACACAAAAGTTTGGAATTACTTAAGCAGAAGGCTTTCACAATTCTATTGTGTTACCTCTCCGAACATTAATGGTTGCATTTTCTGACAAGTTCTCACTACAATAAGAGTTCAAACTAAGGTTTTTCTTTTCTTTTTCAAATGATAAAAGTTATTTTAAGAGAAGAAATCATGAGACTCTATTCCACAGACTTAAAACAAAAATGTAGAAACCAACAGCCAACCTTCGAGGCCAGCAAAAATTGGAAAAGAAGAAAAGCATATGCATAGAAATGATAATCACCTGCAAAGAATTTCATAGTGCTCTTATCCCAAGCAATTTCAACTCAACAAGCATGGTGCGATATCTAATAAACAGGCAGTTGTACCACTCACATTGAAAGAAATGGACATAGCCAAACTTCCACAACATTCTAATTACATCGCACTTTAATGTAACTGTCTAAATAGAACTAACCCCATCATAGAGTAATCTACGAATCAGAATAAAGTGTTGTCATGCCATGCAATTCATCTAGAAGGGAAAATGTGAATAGATGGTTTACTTTTCACGACATGCCCGTTCAGTTGATTCCGCAAAAGTATTAAAGGCTGTCTCGACACGCTTTAAAAACATATCATGGCCACTCAAGTATTCACCATCTTTCTGTGATAGGAAAGTCAAGGATAAAAGTTATATCACAGACCCATTCATACTACAGAAATAATCACAGTGAACTCGTAGAATAAAGATCATACCTTCAAGAGATAAACAGAGATAGGAAAGAGCCTCTTCAAAATGTGTAAGAGCCTAAAGCCCAACTGCCACAAGCAAACTTAAGAAGTAGTCAATGTCTAATTCACAATTCTATGATCCAAAGATCACTTGAAATGCCAGGAATTATAACCCACCACATTCCTATTACAGAAGAAGTACAACTAACCAATTGATTATGGAAAAAATAGTCCATTTCCCGATCACCATCCATTAAAATGATAAATGATGGATAGTGAGACCCAGCAGAACAGGTCATAACCCCAAAGGTGGGTCCCACTCAATATTTTATATGGACAGTGATGAGCTAATGGACTATGCTTCTCCCCTAGTCCATGTGATAATAGTATACCTCTTCATGAACAATAAATCTATTCTGAATTACTAGTGAAAACCTACACACAAAAAAAAAAAGTAAGAAAAGAAAACATTAGCACACATGTAGTTCACTCAATGCATAAACAAGCACTTGCGGTATAGTCAGTAGCATCACATGATATGGGTGCAAAAGAGAAACCTCTAGCAACCATATGGGAATTAAGTTTTGGGAGGAAGTGATACACATGCTGAATTGGGATCTGTGAATGAGAACATATGCAAATCATGTATGAGAAAACACAAACAAAAGTTCAAAGACAAAGGCTGAAATAATTTTGCAGGAATTAAATATTGGATAAAATTTCCACTACGAAATGGAACTGATTAAGAATATACTGTTGAAAAGCCACGATGAACATTTGTTGTGTGAGATGAGATGCAAATCTACGGTATGCTTTAGTGCTTATTTATATGTAAACTGGATGTTATAATATGGCTATATTGCGCTCTCAGAGTTCATAAAAATAGCAGAAAACATAAATATAAAGTTCTATTTTTCTTTTGGGTTAACCTAGGTAGGTAGGGTGGACCCCTATTTAGCTTTTAGAGAAAGTAATGCTATTTGAAGGAGAAAGTCATTTACATAGAATATCTATAGACTTATATACAGAGATACCTTTATATGCCTTCGCAATAAATACATTATGAACACACCCTGACAGCGTTATATCTAGATCGTGTTATTGTAAGTCTTTTTGACCTATCCTTGTAAAGCAAGTTGGCTGGTTTCAGGAGCTTCTGGGTCTGACCATGTAACAATTATGTACACGTCCATCCATGGACGGATATTGCAAGCTTCAAGAGATAAATGAGCATACTTTAAGTAAGATTGATATAGAATCTTAAATAAGCACTTTTATTCCACATACCTGATGAAGAAATGGTTCAAAAGAATCACGAGCCTTTGCAACAGCAATCACACAAGCAGTCCTACATTTAAGTAAATAAGATTCCCACAGAACTTGATTAGTCACAGTAAATTGGCCTACAGGAAATATATTATTGAAAATAATGTCAATATAGTTGTTCAATCATTAAATTACATGTCTTTTCAAGCCAGAAAACCGTAGGAACTCTGCCTCCCCTCAGAGCCACCTCTCCCTCTCTCTGAGCCAGGCCTCCATAGACAAGACCTCCACAGCTACTACAGAGAAGGCAGGACTGGAGAACTAGCACATGGAAAAATCTCTAAAGAGAGGGAGGTGTATGATATTATAGAACCAAAGATACTAGAGAGAGAGAGATAGATTACCGTCACAATTGCAACCTAGACTTTTTTGAGGAAAGAAATTGGCAAAATCTATGTTTTTTATTACTTTTGAGATCAAAAGAAAGGAAAAATCTTTGAGAAATAAAATAAAATCAAATCCAAATTTTTTGGATCTGATTCTTGATGAACATCAAGAGATGATACAAGAGATTTTGAGTGATTTAAAGCTTGCGATTCATTCAAAACATTGAGGGCTGGATCGGACCATAAAAGTTAATTGTTTTTGCTTAAATTTCTTTGTATTTAAGATCTCTCGAGATGTCTTTATGGTTGTGTTTTACATGTATGAAATGCAATTCAACCTTCACCTAGTAGCTATCAAACTTTGAATTTTTCCTATCTTTCAAAATTGTAATGTCCAATTGATAATATATACTTTATATGAAATATATATTTTATTATACACAAAAATATACTCTCTCACTCAATATCTATATATATATATATATAGGTTATGTTAGGGTTGCTCACACTATAGTGCATATTATAATTGTAATCAACAAATTTTGGATTCTTATATACCCTTATTTTGTATATAGAGTATTTTTTAGTAAAGGTATTTTTGGTCATTAGGAGGGGAGTGACATCATCCGTATAGGGTGTTGACATCACCCACATGGAGTACACTAGTGGCATTTAATGTCCTATGTGGGTGATATCACACCCCTCCTAATGATAAAAAATACCTTTACTAAAAAAATATTGTGTTACAAAACAAGGGTATATAAGTGTCCAAAATTTGTTGAGTACAATTATAAAATGCTCTACAGGGTGATTATCGTAACGTAACCCATTTAGTTTCCTACTCCAAAACTCGTAACCACAAGTTTCACTTACTAATCTAAAAATCATTAGCAATAACAAATTTCAGAGTACCAGCCTCACCAACATCCCCTTTGACAAATTCAAATCCAAGTTTGGAATTGAATTCAATTCCATAATCGAATCTCAAAGTTTCAACTCTCTCTGGGCCAATCAAAACCTCGGACTCCAACCCCCAAATTCAAATTCAATGTCCCCACAATTCTCGAACTCGAATTTGAATCCAATTTCACTAAAAAAAAGAAGCTTTCCTTCTGGCCTAGCTATCAAGCCATCCCAACTGCCCAACTGCAAATATATCCGAATGGGTGGACAACCTTGATGGGCCCATCCCAAATGACTTTACCCAAGGCTTCCTGATACACGTGATGTCTTCCAAAGACCAAATAACCACCACCAACCAGACAGCCTAGACCGAACTACACTGACAGCATTCTCACTGCCCAACCATTCAAGAGCGTGTGGTCCAAATGCACTGTCACCCACCACAATTCCATACTAGAAACGTGAAATCTAGGTCCTTCATTCACCCCCCCCCCTTCCAAATGTCCCTGATTTCTCCTTTCCACAAAGTATACAATCTCCTATCTTCTACCACCTGTATCTGAGAGATCATCACGCCCCTTTCATCTCCCTTCCCCTCCTCTACTAGGCCACTCAAATTCCAGCCTTGTAACCCTTCAAGAGTAATAGAACCCCGTAGGTGATCCACCATCACTCAACCAAATCCAAGCATGGCCATCAACAGCACGAACAGAATTCCAAAGCTTTCCACCCATCATCTCAAAACATGTGTCCATCCCTGCCAGACTTCAAGGTTCAGCCACAAAGATTATTGCCAAGCAGAATGCTCCAACCAGACAGATCCAACTTGTCTTAACCCCCAATCCTCCTTCCTGCACTTATGGTAAATCTGGTCTCCCTTGGCCACCCAAAGGCTTCCTTAAAAATCTCCACCCACCTCTCACTAGAGTCATTTCTGCAACCAAAGACCTTTCTGTAATAACCTTAAAACCTTACCAGGGACATCATCGACACCACAAATCTTGACCATTCCCTTACCCCCATTCAACCCTTCCACACTCTTAAACCCTAGAATCACAGCTACATGGACAGTAGCTCACTTGAGCGAGACTCCTTAGTCTCAGAATCCTTCTTCTTGGTGGACTAGGAACAAATTAAAAAAATAAACAGCAGAAGCAGTATCGATCAAATGCTTAAGCTATGGGATTAATCTAGAAACAGCCCATCTATGATACCGGTGAGGTTCCCATTGGAAACGCCACCAAAGAGGCCAAACCCAAAGGGAAAGGTTGCAAGGAGCTCAAGAACTTAGTTTCCAAATAAATTATGAAGAATTTCAAACCCCTCATATCCCCTTGCCCCAAACCCAACGATTACCAACCCGGTCGTCATTCATCCAGGAGGATGCCCACCACCATTCCCCGTTCCAAGTGAGAATCATGGCCAGGAACATTTGGGATCCAGGGAATCCCATGAACAAAATGACTCTACTTAACCATAATCTGAAATACTGTTCAAATATCCTAACAATATCTGCTCAAATTGGGGCAGAAGACCGTGTATTTGGAAATCCCTCCCTGCATGGGGTGCTTCGAGTGGGAAATGGTGTCTCCGTCTGATTCTTCAGAATCTCAGACAATTTTAGGTGGAGGTTCAAAGCGGTCTATGAACAGAACAGGGAAAATCCAAGAGAATAATTTCGGGCCAAAATAGACCACATTCCCCCCACGCACCCCCTCCCCCCCCCCCCCAATCCCCCAACCCTAGTGCACCGGCAGCAACTATAATGTCACCAGGTGGTCCTTTAAAAAAGAATAAACCTAACCGAATGACTGCCAGTATGGCTGAATTGTTAGATTTCATGTACAGACACAATTTCATAGACTGTCCCATAAAGGCTTCATCCTTCACATGGTCCAATCACTTCAAAGAGTATCCCACTCTCACTAAGATAGATAGGTTTCTCATAGCCCTCAAATGCTTCTCTTCACAGGTCTTTGTGAAGGGGACCGCCCCTCCTTTTATCTCTTAGCTTAAATAACCATGATCTTTAGTAGGTCCATTAATAACATGTACTACCATAACTGACTGGCTCATAGGCTTCCCTCACTTTAGAATAGTCCCCAAATTTCTCACCTTGTCTTTTGTGATGCCAATCCTCAGCAAGTAGATTACTTGTGGTTGTTCATCAGGTGCTTCGAGCTTGCAATGGTTTAAAAATTAATATGAGGAAAACCAAACTCATTGTGGTTGGCCTGGCCAAAAGGATGGGTTGCAGCATGCATACTATCCAACAAGTACATCAACCTTACCCTATGCCGAGGCAAACCTAGAATACAGCAATGGGATAGCATAGGCAAGAAGTTCGAACACAAGCTGGCTGCATGGAAGTGCAGACTCTTGTCTTTGGATAGGCGCTTCACTCCGATCAGATCTACCTTATCCCACATTCAAGTTTTCCAAATGTCTATCTTTAGGATGCCGGCCTCCATAGTCCATAGCTAACAAACTGGACCGACTCATGAGGAACATTCTACGGTGTCCTGCTGGAACACTGAAATTCCATCTAATTACATAGGAGACCAGAACATTGTAAACCCTAAATAGATGGGTGGTTAGGCATCATGAAGCTCACCGACTGCAACACAACACTCCTTGGCAAGTGGCGGTGGTGTTGAGCCACCCAAGAAGACCATCTTAGGCAGCAAGTGATCAAATTTAAACACATGGCTTCCCAAAGGTTCTACAAGGGCTTCAGGTGCCTGGAAAGGTATCCTAAGTACTTTCTTGCGCTTCTCTAAGTCGGATTTGATTTCAAGCCAAAACTGGGGGAATCATGTGGAGGGAAGACTTATGGTTGGTGAAAACACCCCGGAAACCACCTTTCTGAGCTCTTCCTTATTGCTGCTAACCAGGATTGAGTTATTGTCTCTTGCACATGTGAAGTAGTTGGGCCCAAACCACGTGGACTCAAAACTTCAAAGCAACGTTCTTGACATTGAAACCTTCCGAGTTTGTTTCACTGTCGGAACTACTCAACACCCATTTCATCCCTGGAGCAAGTAGGGACAAAATGATCTATTATACACTAACTGGCTACTTAGATTTGGATTTTTATCCTGAATCCCTTCGATAAGATGTGGGTAACACCAGGATCAGATCAACATATTTTTTGTCATACTTCTCTTCCCCTTACCACTCATCAGGCCTTCTGTTCTGGCGAGCCCCTATTTTGGCCTCCAATTTGTCACCTGGGTCGAGAGAAGTAGGCGCACTTTGAAAAGCATGGCTACCAACATCAATGCTCACAGGATCGCATGAAATCCTTTGTCATTTTCTGGGCCAGAAATTGCAATGAATTCAGGTCTGACGCCTTGGTAGACCTTGGACAACAATGGAGAACATTTGACGGTCGAGGCCACATTCAATTTCCAGATCATCCCCCTGGGGCCAACCCATGATTGGAGTTATTAGTCAAGCTAAAATTGCTGGCTGTGCTCTTCGCAACCGAGGTCCATCAAGTACTGGGGGCATCTTCAGATATCTTCTCACTCAGATCTTAATGACATACTAAGGTTCAATAAATATGATGAACGCAATGTTTGTGGAGGCCCAAGCCTCACTGGTCAGACTCAAGTTATTCTACAAAAGCTGGGGTTCCTCTTTACTGGTATAAGGGGATCCCCGAAACGTTATAAACTGGATGAAAAGATTAGTAACCTTATAAAATATCACGATTCATTTTTGTAAAAGCACATACACATATGTATACAAGCCACAATTTTGTGATTTTATGTACATCTTACTTCATTAATACAAAGTGTCATTCACCAAAACAAATTAATTATTGAAAAGAACCAAGTACCTGAAATAGTTTGTCCCATCATGAATATCTTCAACTCCGCAGGCATTGACAATTTCCTCTCTTGTGATTGTTGGACACTTGATCCCTCCGACCACAAAACGAAACTCTGCCATTGCCCTATGATACTGAGCACCACCATAAAGTCGCATCCCTGCATTCTGTGGAGATCAAACACACTTAGTTACAATTACAATGAAATGTAAACACCATCATGACCGGTCAACATCACTAATAAAATGAGCATAAAAAGTAGAAAAACGTTATGTTGTATCAGGCAGTATGAGCACTGATTGATATAAACGATATACATGGAACAGCTTTATAAAAGGCGGCTGCCTAGGCACCGGCTCAAGCGGGGAAGACAAAATCCACGTGCCTAGGCGTAGGTGTCCTGCCTCAAAGAGGCATCTAACCTAGGCAGCTTGCCAGCATAGGCAGCTGCCTAGACAGCCATGTTGCCGAGGAAGATGCCTCGAAAATAACTCACGACTTTTCTTCTCAGCAACCTCATATTGGAGGTGGCCGCCTCATCCTTTAAAAACATTGACACAGAATACTAAAATATCCATAATCATGTGAATCAATATCCAGGATTCATTTTATTGTCATTTATGGATCACAATCCCATGCTTGTAGGATTGGTGCATCATAGTTATTCTAGACGCAGAGTAACCAATTCCAATGAGAACCAACCTAATTTGATTGAACTGTAGTCTCCTGTTTTTGGTTGTTAAAATACTGTTTGTAGTCTCAATGTAGCATATATTAAATTTCCAGAAACTTCAAGTTGTATCTCAAGGTAACAATATCTTACCCAAGACCTTGATGGTTATATTCACCCAAAAAAGAAAAGACCTTCATGGTTATGGTATTGACAACTGTAACATTGTGTCCCATGTATGAGATCTAAAATTCATGGTTTTTCAAGAAACACCAGACGAAATCCAGATCATCTTCATCAGTCACTACTTTATACCCACAGTTATCCACCACAAAATTTTCGAAGTGCCACAAACAAATTCCATAGTTCTTTTGTGTTTTATGGATGACAAAATAAGGTAGACTCAATTAAATCGTATTCCATAACTCTGAACCCATCATGGAAGCACTTTATGAGTAGGGGCTAAGTTTACATGCAGATGGCAGCACTGGGCATAAAAAGTAGTCTGTAGACCGCGCACACACACGCACACACGCACACACAAATAAGTCACACATGAACATTAAACAACCAATAGCACATTGACTGCTCAAGTTCCATATACTATGTGGAGCTTAAATCTGCCATGACAAGCTTCTAGCTCAATGGCCAATGGAACTGCTTACCGTAGAACCTCTACAAAGTGTAGGGATTGGTTTTCGACTGCTAACAATTTTGACCTCATATTCTTACTAGTTATTAATCAAAATTTGACATATTTCCAATGAGAAATACACTGACAATTAGAATAGAGTTTTCAATTATGCAAGGAGACTCACACCAGAAGAAGAATCGCTCAAGCCCATAAAACTGTAAGCTTTAGAAGACATGAGACCACCATCTCATGCATTCAAGGAGGCTTGTTCTTGGAGGATAGGTTAGAGATTGGAAGAACTGCTATCAGGTACTTCAAGAAATTATACGTTGGTAATAGTTTCGCAAGGCCAACCTTCCAAACGCTCAGTCCAACAAAATCTGCAAGGCCTTAGCAACTTAGAGAACACCCTTTCCAGAGGGAGGAAATTTGAAGGACTCTCGTCAACCTCATCCACGACAAAGCACGGGGACCTAACGGGTATCCAGTGGCCTCATTTCAAACTTTGTTCGACCTCATCATTGCAGACCTAGAGGAGGTTCTCTCTGAATTTCACAAGAGATGGATTATACATAGGGTATTGTTACATTTATAACCATAGTTACTGGAATCATAGTTACCCGGAAAGGGAGCAACAAGAGATCTGGGATCGGGGCGGGAGCTCAGAGCGAGCTATACTCGAAGTTCCATGGTCGGGGGAACGAGGTCTGCATATGGTCAAGTAAAGGGATCGAGACCCCTTACTTTTAGGGAGCGCATTCTATATATGCACAGGAGCGAGTTTCTTACTAAATGGGCGTGCTTAGGAACGAGGTTCCCGATGTTCACTTTTCCCCTGTATTGTAATTTGGGAGCAAATTCCAATGATCAATACGCTTAACTTTCCCCAAATGTACAAATCCAAGTATCAATGTAAACAAGAATCATATCACTGAAATTCTCTTTGAGTTTTTGTTGTCATTGGAGTATGATTTCATATGAGTAGTGATACTTAAAATTCAATATGGTGTACCTAAGTCCTCGGGCACAAAAGGAGCTTTGTGTCCTTCATCTTGGCGATCTCCATCTCTTTGTCTCTCTCCCTCTATCTCTCTCATCAAGTGGTGAGCATCTCTCTCTCTCTCTCTCTCTCTCTCTCTCTCTCTCTCTCGCAGATACAATCATTGGGGACTTTCGTGGACTCCCATTCTCTTCAAATTCCTTGGGGAACACCAAGAGCTATCTCCCTCTAGCACAAAGTGACAAGAATAAACTCTCTCAAATCCCCTATTGTAGGCATGATGAAACTGGTGAGATGACTAAAAGCAGGAACTGAGACGAAACATTTCTCAGAGGCAATCTTGTACTTGTAATGAAGAAACCCTTTTCAACTACTGAATTCAACACACAACCGAATTGTGGTGTAATGTACACCTCAATTCATGGGATACCCTTACTCAGCTATTAATAGTCAATGTTGGGTTAGATTTCCCATTTCAACGATGTTTTGAATTTATCATTCGTCGACTTTTGGATTCCTATTCATAAGTTACCTTACATGTATTGTTAGGTCAAAAAGAATTGGAGATCCAAACTCCATTGTATATGAAACGAAAAATGTGCCGGTGAAACTTGCTCCTAATGTAGAGGATACTCAGTTCCAAAGTTGATGGAATAGTGGTTCCGCTTGATCATAGAACTATGATTTTTGGCATTGAGACCTAGATCCCATTTATGTGGAATAAAGTTCCCTAATTTACCGAATCGAGATCCCAACTATCAAGGAGTTGCCCATAATCGAGATCCCATGCATCAGAGCGTTGGATCGAGCTTCCAGAGCAGAAGCGAACCCCTCCTTAGAAGAACCTGGTAACTAGGACTGTGATGATCGCGATAGCATTAGATCCAGGATCGGAACAAGCAAGAAGCTCCCCATGGTAGGGATCACAGTCTATACAAATTGAAATGTAGGGATCTCAACACCAATATGTGGGGGAGCTTGATCAAAACTCGATCAGAATCGAATGATAAATTTTATAGGACAAAGCTCTATCTAGTTAAAAGTCGAGGCTCCTGAGAGCACGTAACTAGTATAGGAGTATAGCACATAACATTATACTATACCACACTGCTATACAATAAGACACTGCTATACTATTATACAACAATACTATGTTATATATCAAATTTTTTTGAACAATGTGTACTGCTAGTATATTTGTATGCTATACTATATAGTACATATAACTATACCATACCATGCTGCTAGACTATACTATACGGCTATATTATGCTATTAGAAAGTGTTTTCAGAAATGAGACTCAGTATTTGTACTTTCTAATGCTAGCCTGCGGCGTTTGGAAGAGTTTCGTTTGGGCCCAGACTCTGGCTTTCAAATGAGTCTTAAATAGTGGAGCATTTGAGTCGTCCATCACATAGTGAGAGTGATGCACAGAACACAACCAACTAGACCTCCAAGTGGTTCAATTTCCTACGAGTATTGGACTGTTTGTCTGGTGAGTAGACTTCAAGAAAGAAGACAGTAACATAACAACACATAAGGATAGGGAGGACAACCAAGCCATGGATAGGATTGTTAACCAATTTTTGGGAACATTTTTTTTGTATGGGAGGCATTTGAATGATATCTTTTGATATGTTTCTACTTTGTTATTTTTGCTTTGATTAATGAAGAAATTCAAAAGAGATACTGAAGCATTTTAGGCGCATATACAACCCCTCTTTTGTAAAATCCAACATTTCAAAAGATGCTTCTAAATAATACAATAGGGGCGAGAGTTCTATTTTGCATTCTGAATGGTCATTGATTTTGATCTATGAGTTGAAAATAAGAGCAAGGTGCAAGCATGTTTGGCATATTGACTCAACAAGCAACTTAAACAAAGGAGATGGAGTTTAAACCGACAATATGCAACTGTTTTCAACCACATAGTAATTGTGAATATAATGTTCACAACTTCACATCACAAGATGTGTATTCATGCATATGGCGTATGAGGGCCATATGGGAAAATTTTAATGCACTGAATCACCTCTAGCGAGTAGTAGCAAGTACAAGGCAAGAACAGAACCATGTAGTGCAAAAATCAATTCTACACTGAAAAAAAATAAAAAATAAAGAAATACCCGAGCAATATCATTATTAGTTAAAGGGTTGCTTTTGCATCTTACAGGCATTAGTTTATAAGGTATTTGAAGCCCATCAGTTCCTAAGAAATCCCCTCCATTAACTCTCTCATCTTGTAGCGTTTCACCTGTCAGCAAACCCAAATGATGATATTCACAGCCCGTCTGAAGAATTTGTTACTTCAACATGAGGTTTTTCCAATTTTCATTCCAACAATTTGGATCATCAACTTTTTCTTTTCTTTTTTGATAATTAGGACTGTCGACAAAATTAAGATTATCCTTACCAAATTTATCTGGGGGAGCCACAACCGTGCCCTTCAACAACAATGAGAGCTGAGGACATAGAATTTCAGAAATCAGCTGAGGGAGATTTTAAAATACGTAAAAAGTTCACCTCACAAAAGAGTCATTTTAAGAACAAAATCTAGAGAGGAGAATTCAAATAGAAAATCACTCTGAAGAGAAAAAAGATAAATATAATAATCATGTTTAGCACCTAGCAGAACAACTATTGGTCAGGCCAAATATTTGGTTCCTCCTTGGCAAGAGCAATGCTACAGAAAGGAAGATGCTACAGAAAAAAGGACATAAAAGTAACTGTCCTAATTAGGGGATCATTCTGGAAAGAAAATGCAGCTAATGTAGGAAGGAGGGTTCATCTAGATATTTTCTGCAACATTTTCAAAGGACCATTTTTCTGAAGATGGTAGTTTAGGAAATAAAGGGTGAGGGAATACCTAGAAAACATTTAAATAAGGGCAGGTTAAACATTTTCTTTGGCATTTAGTGTAGATAAATGCTATCTACGTTTAAAAATTATTAAAAGTTTACTTCCAAGAAAGTGGGGAACTTCAAAAAGAGCATTTTATAAGATGGCTAAAATGCCTCAAACATTATAAAGACTTTAAGATTGAAATATCATAGCCGATTTCTGTTCTAATTTTTTGAGACTTACATGGGAGCTAATTGGGTCCTTTAAGGAAGTTGAGTCTCCCATGGAGTATTATTTTCCACAAAAAGTAGTATTTTTCCTACTCAGACGCACTATACATCAGCTTGAATTCAAAGCCTGGATGATGATAAGGCTACAGAACACAATTTCTATTCAGATAAGTCATTCCAAAGCATAAAAACCTTGGTTAGGAAAGCATCCTGAAAAAGACGTCCCTTCTCCTTCAGCTTTACTTCATCAACATTGCTGCACCAGCAAAATGGCATACCATTTAAGTAAATATAAAAACTCAACAACTTCAAAGTGAATCCCGTGCTTATTAAGTCACTATCAGTAGATGACCGTCCAAAGAAGAAAGAAAAATGTTAGTGGAAACCATAAAGGAAACAGCTCATCAATCATCCTTTGCACTAGAAGTTCATGAGCATAGGATTACTTTTGAAGCTATAAAGGACTAGAAGTTACATCCTTTCTAAATTTATCAAAGAAGTTACATCGAGATATAAATGAGGAGAAGACAAAATACAGACTCCAATGCCCATGCTAGTAAGTTTATTCACAGCTCCATATGTTGCCTCTACACCAATGTTTTATAAAATGGATTAGTGGGGTGGATTGTCCACCCACCGATCCTGATCCAAATCCACGATCCCCTAAAAGAAAAAAATAAAAGAAATAATATATAATGCATGAAATTTATTTCACCTAACTTGAGCAACCACATGGCTTGAGCCCCTCGCCCTGTGGCCTTTTCCATAAGGTCGACGGTTCAAGTCCCTATATATACATATGCATTTTCGAAAATATTTAGAAAAAAAAGAGAAGCATATTTTTTCTAACAATAGAAACAAAAGGAGAAGGTTTAGAGAAGGTTCAAAACTTGAAACTTACGGCCCAGTACGTGCAATATTTAAACACCAAGACCATTCAGAATTTTTCTTATGAAATGCACATATAATATATTCTACATTGTTCAAAACATAACGGTCCAGATTGGGAATAGCCGATCCGGATCGAAATCAATGGCACCACACCAGTTCCTTGTCTAAGTCGGCCGGTTCATTATGGATATAATATTACATTGTATACATTATATAACATAAATTGAAAATGGCTTATATAACATAAATTGAAAATGGCCCAGTTGGCTAGCTCCTTACACTTTTTTGGAGGTGGTTTGGGGTTTGAATCCCGCAGCCGTGCTATTTCCCTTTTAGAATACGTCCAATTTTTTATTATTTTTTTAATGTTCTCATCGAAAAATAAGGAAAGCTTGCAGGAGGAGTCAAACCTGGGTCACCTATGAGGTGACAAATGCATGTACCCACCGCAGCCTTTTTGACATGAGTTACAGAAAATGTACATATTATATATTATCATTTTTTTTTCTATTTTTTGTTGTCTGGATCTCCAACCGGGCAATCTAGATCGGCATCCATAGGTGGGCAATCCACCCCCCAAGCCATTTTTTAAAACACCGATATTATATATTGACCAGATTGCTGATTCTGACCAAGAATTGGCATAGTCCTCAACGATTCCTAATCTGCATCGGTGATTCCTTATCCAAATCACGTTTTTTAATCATTGCTCTATACACAAGAGGAAATTGTAATATAATAAAAAATCATAGTCCACACTATTACCATTGTCTACTGAAATGATGGATTGTGAACAAGAGGTAAGGGGTCCACCATAGGGGTGTCCCATTCTGGTGAGCCCTACTCTCTCCATCACTGTCATTGACAATGGATTGTGATGAGCCAATGGTCCATGGTTTCTTCATAGTGCGATGTAATATACTATACTTTCCCACATAATTATCAAAAGTGAAAAGAATATAAGAATCCTGTTTTAAAGGACATCATAACAGGTAAACAAGTTAAAAAATCTTACAACTGACCTGAGGTCCTGATTAATCTCAGACAACTTTCTTGTTGTACTTCGGTGCTCCTTCTCAAGCTGAGGAATAACTAATGGGACACTGTCCATATACCTTCAAACACAAAGTTACACTATAAGATTTCACAAAAAGCAAACAAATAGGTAGATTTAGACCAAACTAAATGAAAAACAAAAGACAAGTACCTCTTCCTCAGCACTTCTTCCAAGAAGAGTCGGAGGCTACTAAGTCCTATTCTACATCTTTCATCCCTTGACAGAGGACGACCCAACTTCTCCTCAAGAGAAGCAACATCCTGCAACTCTCTCAAGGACACAGCCTGCACAAACCGAGAACTTCTAATACAACTCCCATGAGATCCCGCACATCATTTTCTGGAAGCTTTGTCAGCAATTTTATCATAATGCCTCAAATTCTTCACATAATCATTCTAATGTAAATGGCCAAAAGGATCATTGCACTATAGAATATTATTGAATAAAGGCTATAGAGTTAGTAGAATGTGTTGATACTGTGACAGAAGGTATTAAAAAAGTCAGAAAAACTTTAAATAGGAAAAAGTGAAATAAAAGAAGTTCTCCATCATTTACCTACGACATATGGACTCACTGATACTGTGGACCATTTGCCTGAACTATATTCTGTGGAGATGTTTCCTTCTCTCTGCTTAGGATTATGGTACTTGGTAATAACTTGAGCTGACTCTGGCGGGACTACCCCCAAGCCAATCACAAAATCCAGTGGTGTGGAGAAACAAATTAGACTCAGGCATGCCAGTTTAGGATGCTTTCTTCACACAAGAGGTCATATCTAGGGACAGGCTTAAACCTACTTTTTTTCTTTTGAGGAATACTAATCTCACTAAATAATCAAATTATCAAATACACCAAATGTCCACCTAATCCCATAAGAAGAATTTATAGGACAAGTTTTACTACAAAAGGTCTTAGTAAATTCAAGTACTTTTCTAGGAGCTAATCTGATAGTTGTTACAGCACAAAAGCCTTGAATGTGTCAATCAAAACCATAAACTCCAACTAAAACTAGTATTCACCATTTGAAAAAAGAAAAAGGGCTACTACCGAACATTGCAAAATTCATAGATTAGCATTCTATTTATCATTATTGATAGCCGATAGGCAGGTATACTTGTCTACCTCCCAAATTATGTTCCTTTACCATCATATACGCTAAAGTATTCTGCGGCATCTATAGAATCACTAGATCACTTTGAGCCTCCCCTTATCCAAACGAAGAAATTTAGAGGTTCAACTAATGCCAATAGACCAGGAAGTTCATCAACTAGTCTATCAAACAGGACTTTAGAAATTTGTCAGAGGAAGACTTATCCTGAAGAACCAGGAAATATAATTAGGTGAACTGGGTGGGAACCAGGAAGCAGGAAATTTTTACATAGGTCAACTGAGAATCAGGAAGCAGAACTTCAGCCATGCTCTAGGGTAGAACCTTGAAACTAGGTACATAACCGCCACAGTATGTTGGGAGTGTCTCTTTGATCTGTATTTGTTTTAAATGTCAAAGGGCACCCTTTCTTTTTCTCAAAGTCATTCAGCAGTAAGTTTAAACTTGGTGCCATTGTCAAAACTTGGTGCCATTGTCAACTTAGGTGACAATAAACATGGAAAACCATTTCTACATTATAAGAGGTGTTGCATTTAGAATTGTGACATTCAGTTAGCAAAACCAGCAAATCAGCAGAAGCACTATTCCCTGCATTGCACACGCAAGATATCAATTATAATACAAAGGTAAGCCATCCAAAGATGAGAAAGTCATCCAACGAGGTTAAATATTTAAGAAGGTCATGAATATCTTTTTGATAATCCAGAAGGTCAGGAAGCCAAACAATAGGTGAGCCATAATATATCTGATTGGTTCAAACTGCTTTCTTTGTAGCGAGTCATGGCCAGGTTTACAATGAAATGACATATTACAAGAAATGGTTAGAAAAATCCACTAAAAAAATAAAAGAAATGGTTGAAATTAACCTGTTTGAACTCATCATTTGATCTGTAGACAAATTCAGGTCCTGAACCCACTCTCCCAGAGGGTACAGAAGTAAAGAAGGGAGCATCACCCAAGATGCTAAAATCAAATGTGCGAGCAGGTGGTTTCAGAAAAACTTCCACATCTGATGATCGGGCAAACTGCAGGATTTTTGTGTCCAGTTTTGTGGAAACCACCACAGTCCTTGAAAGTTCTGGATCAACCTACGCATAAGTTATGCATGACGAAGAAAGCTCGTTCACTGTTAGATCATAATACAAGATAAGGCATTGGGGCACACAGTGTGCAAAAAGTGAAACCAGGTGTACCTGCATGACCACCCTCCGTGTAGTGGCATTGCTCCAATCACTGCAGTCCTCAAGACAAAGTATGATAAACTCTTTATGCTGCATCTTACCACGCACAAGGGCCTCCACCGCACGGGCCTGTACCTGCCGATGCAGTTATTTGACAAACAAAGAGAACACTTTAAACAATTACTCAGAAAACCCGTTCAGAACCACTCTGAACCAAAAGCTTGGCAACACATAGAGTGGAAATATAACAAAACATATAATGGAACTCCTTGATGACTACATACTAGTACATGTTATGATTATTATTGTCAAGCTAAGGCCATGTCGGAAACCACACAAACCATGGCATAGGGGCATTTGGGCTCTAGAAAATGTAAACAAAAAAGTCAACTTTGTGGAATTTGTTGGTGCCAACGAGTGAAATGGAAGTTTGTATTCTAATAAAAGCACAAACCATGAATCAAATAAAAGAGGTCTTGCCCTCTTTTTCTTCTCATATCCAAACTCACTCATCCACCAGCGAGGACCAACTCAAAGCTAACACCAAAAAGGCAACAACCTCCCAGCTATGTAATTTCTAGGCTTTCAAAATCTTACAAACCCTGTAATTGTATATTTGAAGCCTACCTATAATTTCTAGGGTTTCCACATTGGATAAAGAAGACCTAACAACATTTACAGGCCTGCAACAATCGAAAGCCCATACTATCCTCAGGTGGCCATTGTTGAAGATGACCATTCAGATTCAGATGTTTACAGGCCTTTGCAGTTTGTCCATTCTCTGGACCCAGGCCAAGCATTCATCGAGGTCATGTATGAGACACAGTTCAAGGCGCTTCAAGCTCAGCAATGTGGAGGGAGCATTGTGTGGGAAAAGGAAGCTTACAAATGGGGGTTTTTCAGTCCATTCATGGAGTGAATTATGAGAATTTTGGGCTCATTTCTTAAAGTGGATGAGAAGATAATGGAGTGTTTCGAGTCCATTTCTGAAAGCAATCCTAGGGTCTCTACAAACGGAAGTTAATGGAGGATTTTGAGTCCATTCCTGGAAAAAATTCTAGGGTTATAGAAGAGGAGAATGAAAAACTTGAAGGTCATGCCTGAAAATGATTCTAGAGAGACAGGATTTGCAGGTCATGCTGGAAACTGAGGCTAAAGTGGCTGAGCCTCAGTATGGGGTTTATTTATCTTATGTTGTTTATGCATTTTGTTTGTGTTCTTTGGTGTTGTCCAAAGGCACACCATCCATCTTGCATAAAGGGGGACCTGGCCTTTTTTCAAATAAAGGTTTGATGGGACTGCAGCTCAGCGATCAAGCTAACCCAACAGTCTTATTTACATGGAGGGAAACTGTTAAATTAATGGAATTTAAGTGGGGATTAAATTTTGGGTTTTGCTGCAACATAGCCCTTTTCTTTTGATTCCTCAGGTCCATGGTTAATCAGACTGTACTGTTGCTGATTGTTAGTTTATTTTTTTGTCCTCTCATTCCTTTGTTTGTTTTTCTAGCTCCGATGGGAGCAAGGATTTTAATGGATGATTGAGTTGTGGAGGAGGAAATGGAAGAATTTTGTTGTTTGTTTTTTTTTCCTCTTTTTTTGGTTTTATTTTGGGTTTAGGGGAGTGGGGGAGGGCCAGGGTTGGAGGCCCATGGAGTTGAGCAGGAGCCAGATTTGGGGGGGAAATGGCAACTCAGAAAGTGATTCAAATGCAGAGTAGATATCCAAAATATGGCCAACTACATTAGAAAGAAATATAGAATCATTTTCATTTGCAGCAAAACAAGTGGTAAATATCTCTATGTAATTCACAAAATTTTCCATTCTAGCTTGGAGATTGGAGTGTCATAAGAAAACTAGTTTCTCTATGGCATTTTAATGGTGATTTTGTTCTCATTATTGTCATCTTGGCAGGTGCTGCGATTTCATTTCTCTTGGTGTGTTCTTTCATTGCAATGTATTAGGCTTTGGTAATGCATTGTGTGCGTAAATGATTGAATCTTTTGGTTTTAGACGAGGCCCAAAGCTGGCAATTTGGGCAGTTTGCCTTTGTAGTATTGCATCTAAGGGTAGGAGTTGTAGGGTTCACATGTATGTCTACAGTATGATTACTTACGAACATAAATAAATTGGATGAACCAACATATATGCACAGTAAATTCACAAGGTCAGAGAAAGTGTAATGATCAAGGGAGTTTGAGGTAAACCAAAATGGGTAAAAATAGAAGTTTAGGGACAACTTTATCAAGAAGGAGCCTAAGAACCTTACAAGGCAAAGTTTCTGAACTAAGCCAGGGATTTTGAGAAACCTAGAAATTGGTTTATGTTTGTGTATGTGGGTGCGTATGAAGCATATTTGAGGAAATATAGCACAAAGATCTCACAAAGTCCTTTTTATAAGGAAAAACTACAAAAAAGAGGGTCACCAAAATTTTTGTGCATATTTTGGAAAACATTGCATGAGTCTAACTACATCAGATAAGTTGAGGCAAGGTGGTTGAGTGCACATGACCTCCCCATACTTGTGCTGGGAGATTTTTTATTTTTATTTTTGGAGGGTAGTTCAGTGGGGAAAGGGTCACCCACCCATGTTTGGAATGGAACTCAAGACATCACTCTTCGGCACTTTGCCACTTTGACCACCTACTTGATAGACTTATCAAGGCTGTTTCTTAGGAGACTATGAACATTCTTAGGTGGCTGCTTCTGATACAGTGGAGGCTGTTCAGTTGAGATATAAGCGGTTCAAGATCTCTAGGGAATTTCATATTGACAGGTGACCTGAGGACTTACCTCCACCCTTAGAAAGGTGTCAGAAACAAACTCTGGTTACTTCCCATAATAAATATTAGAGTAGTCAACTTTTTCTCTTTTAAAGGTGGCAGTCATTGTGGATGTTAGTTCTGGTGAAAAAGGGAAGTTCTAGGGACAAAGAATTCAGATGTAGCGCTAGGGACACATGATAATATGGACAAAGGCATCCTTCTCTTGGTCTCATTTTATTGAGGAGATTCCATCAATGTCATCAGTTGTATCAAATACCATCCTGTGATAATCTAAGCATCCATAGAGGCTCACAATAGTAAACAGTTTAATCTCTGGCATATAGATATTAGCTCATGGGTAATCATCAAATAAATGTGTGGACAGTCCATACAAAACCAATGAATGTTTAGACTTCAGAATGGGGATTTGAGTATTCAAATCATCGCACAATCTTAATATACCACTGATTATAAGGATAAGCAACCCAAAAAGATTATAGACATAGTGAAAATAATTTCATGCCCAACCTGCTACCCACCTGCAACAGTTTATTCTTACGACCTGGGGCTGGAGCAATAAGACCTGGCGTGTCAATTATAGTCAAATTGGGGCAGTATTTGTACTCTATTCTAATTATTATTTCTTTTGCCCAGAATTGACATGCCTCGCACTCAAGTCTCATGTTTTCAGCTTCAATGTAAGCCTGTAAAAGATATAAAAAAAAAAGCAAAAAAATTAAGAATAATGATTAATAAAATACACAAATATGAAGTACTCAAGCCAATGCACTAACAAAAAGAAATATTTAAATCAATGCTTAATGCCCCAGTCAGAACAGTAATATGTATTCTATTGACATTGTTGTCACAATTCATTGAAAGCAAGTTTTATGAAGCATATTAACGTCAAGGGAAAAAACCCACAAACTGCAACCGCAAACTCCTCTGAGCATGATGTTAGACAAATGTCGACAAAGAAACAGAGTAATTCATTTCTTCCCAGCATCAATGCATAAGGATGATACACGGAAATGCAGAAATTCAAATACAAAGACGTGATACAAATCATTCCATTCAGCATAACTTTGCATGGAAACGCATCAAAATTACACACAAAAGAGATGAAGAAAAAAAAGAGAGAGACATAAAACGAATTCTCCTCAGATTGAATTTACAATAACAATGTATAGAAATGCACCAGCATATATAAGTGGGATCAAAAGAAAGAAATATAGAAATGCCTCAATTACAAACATCCGTAATGAAAAGCAGAGAGAGAAACAGAGTAATCAAAATTACCGCAGCATTGAATTTGCAACAACAATGTGAAGCACTGCATCAATTTACAAACATGGGGGATGAAGAAAAGAGAAAGAAGTTACCAATCAAAGAAACAGACAAAGAGCCCAAGAAATAGATAAACAGAGAAATGGGATTCCATACTTGGATTTCTTCCAAGCTTTTCTCCACAGCTTGAGGTGGGTTACTCTCAGATAAGAGATGGCAAGCAGGCTCCTCACACAAAGCATTATATTTCATGTGAAGAGTGATGGGTCTTCTGGTTTTGGTGCCCCCACCTACATGGTTAAACTGAAAGCCCATCAAAGCTTCAACCAGAGCACTCTTTCCATCAGTTTGGTGACCCACAACAAGGATGGCAGGAGCATCAAATGGGGTGTGGAAGTCTTGTGCAAGGCTATGGAGCTCATTGTATGCTTCATAAAGCTTCTCTGCACTTTCATGGGGGAAACCCAACGAAGGTGAATGAACAATTGCAGAAGCTCTCCGAGCCATTTCAGAGTTGAAGGGATTGGATCCTGTTATGGTGGGGCTATCTGAAACTTGGGGAGCTGAAGCTTCCCCGTTCACTACTGAACAACCGCAAGACTCAGTCCTTTTGTATGGTTAATGTTGAATGAAAAATTGAATCTTTACACTGCAATGGATATAGAGAGAGAGAGAGAGAGAGAGTTGAGCAGAGGGAAAAGGAGTACACTGGTTTGAAGGCGTATGTTGGGGGTTTCCTCAGGCGGGCACTGGATTGAACATGAATGGTGTACGATTAGCCTACTCATATGAGGAGCATACTGTGTATTCATTTCCTTGAGAAAAGGAGCTTCTTGAAAAACATTTTCATCTTCAACTTTTGGTTCCACTTTGGAATCAAGTATTTTCAAAAAATAAAAATTATTTTGAGCTCCTGAACACTTGTTGGATCTCACCACTCTGTGTGGTCTCTGATCAATAAAAAATAATAACTTTTCACATAAATATTTTCAAGAGGTTCTGAGGCCCTCGTTTCCAAGATTTTGAGGTCTTAAAAAAACCACTAGATGGGAGTACACTAAATAACAAATATATGCTACTGCACGAGAATATTAATATTGGAAAAATAGTTTAACAAATATATGCTACTGCACGAGAATATTAATATTGGAAAAATAGTTTATGCGTCTTGGGACACATGATTACATTTGTGTCCCCCAAGGCATCTCACATTGCCCCTGTGGTTCTCGAGAGAACAAAAATTAATAGTCTAAAATTTTTAATTTTCAAATTTTATTTATTTTACATGTCAATAATCTCCATGTTAAAAATTATATACACCTCAAAAATTAAGTCCAAAATCTATCTAAAAAATGTATCATGGAGAGTAGACGCATATCTACATATGAGTATTGCACATATTAGGGAATGAGTATTGCACATATTAGGGAAAAACAATTAAGGCCAAAAGCTCTTAAGAGATATTTATATATATTTAAGGGCACGCTTCTATAGTGCTCCTAAACTTATGAGATAGCACCCATCACAATGTTTGCTTCTATACTATTTTATTTTTAATTATTTTTCCTAGGTGTATCCCTTTGAGATGGTGGGACATATAAAATCTCATATTTATATAATGTGTAAAAATAAATAAAAACAAAATAATGTAAAGCATTGGATCTAGAACAAACAGTTAGTGACTCACTTTATTAAAATTAGATGGCTAGATGGGTGGGGAAGTATATCCCTTCAATGTAGTAGGAAAAGTTTTTTATAAAACAAAATTCTTTTGAAACAAATTTATCAATTAGGCTATGTTTTGACTTAGATGAAAATCAATATGTATTTCATTATTGGGAAAATCAATTAAGAGTTGAGAAGGGGCTAAGGTCGTGGTGATAGCACCCCACATCCTAGTTACCATGTGGTGGTTTCTATTCCCACCATTAATATCACCCTACTAACATTTTCAAAAAGCTAACTCGTAATCTACGGGTAGGTTTCAAAAATACTAATAATTGGTATCATTTATTAAGATTGAACAAGTATTGATATTTTTATCATTATATTGTAAGTCTTTATATTTATTGGGGTATAAGCATAAATTTAGATCCCATCTAAATTATAGGTTATATTTAGAGTAGAATTATGATTAAGGGCATCCGGAGTCGGTCTATAACTAACATTTGCAATACTTATTTGTTTTTTTAATTATTTATTTTTTAAATGAGAGTTGATTATTGTTTTAAGAACACTCACTTGGAAATTCTATTGAATTTTAATATAGTCGAGAAATTGTCCATGTTGAAGCCGAGTACTTGGCCTAAGTTTGAGAAACCAGGTTCGAGTTGGGCTATGGCAAAGCCAAAAAGGTGTTAAAAATAAAAAATATTAAAAAAAAATTATGTTTAGAGCAAAATTAAACAAAATACATCTAAATGATATTAGAAAAGTAAGAGAAAAAAATGGATTTTGAAAAGGACGAATTTGTGACAATAGTATTTGGAAATAATATTAAAAAATAAAACAATTATTCATGGTCAAAATACTTTTCAGTTTTTATCAAAAAAAAAAATATTACAAATAAAATTCTTATTGATTTGAATTATTTATATTTTTTAGATCCTTAAATCGGACTACTCCCTCGCCAAAACGGAAAGAATGGCGGGGGATTCCGCGTAGGCTCGCCCGAGTGATCAGAAGCTCCTTCTCCTCGGAAAAGCGCGCTGCCAGTTGGAAGCCACGCGCGCTTTTTCTTCTCTCTCTTCCCTACCTTCATTCCGACATCACTGCAGCGACCTAGGGCACCGCTCCTCCCTGTTGCGGCCATCATTTCCCACTCCATTTTCCAGCAGGTACTCATTTCAGAGGCCCTTGTTGTTAGATCTCCTGCATCTCTGCAACTACCTTACTGGGAATGACTTGTTTTGGTTTTGGCTCGTTTCCATTTTTTATACCTATTGTGCTTAGGTTTGGGTTTCTTCCATCTATTTTTTGTTGATTTATTTATGTGGATTTCACTTTATTGAGTTTTCTTTTTTCTGCTATTCTCTCTGGGAATTTCATGGTCTGGCAGCTCTGTCAGAGCTCTGATTTCGTTTGTCCTCTCTTTCTTTTCTATCCTTCAAGTAAGTTTTTTTTTTTCCATTCCCACTATTTTCTTCCCGTGTTTTTTTCTCCTTTTTGCGGCTTACAAGTCAACCTTTTTGTTTCTGGTATAGGCACAATTCCCAAAAAGTAAAAGAGAAACCGTTGGATTTGTTAAAGCATGGAATCGAAGCTTCTTGGATAACTTATGAGTTATTTACATCGTAAATATATGTTTATTGATGGATCATCAAAAAGCTAAAGTTTAGGATGGGTTGCAGCATAGGTGAGGGAGTAGATAATCCATAAATGAACATATTAATATGAATACAATATATCTGTTTGGGGAAAAGGTCTCCCCACTTCAATTTTTCAGTGTTCTCGAAGGAATACTGTAATCTTTCCTTTTTACTTAATACAACAGTTAACTTCATCCAAAAAAAACAAGTCGTGGAAAGGTAAGATGCATTTGTTTGAAATAACATGCGATCCCCTTTCATCAATTGGCTGGTTTTTTTTTCCAACGTTGGCTTTATCCTTCCTGAAACTCGTATTTCTTCTTGATAATGTCCATTCATATTTCTGCTTATGGTGTTCTTGTTTTTGAAAACATGATAGATGGATTCCAGAATCATGAACATTTGATTGTGAGCTATGGTGAACTTTCCTTGTCACAACTACTTGATTGTCTGCCTATGTTGCTTTCTGAATAAGGAACTTTTTTCTTGTTGCTCGATTTCTGGAAAATACAATTTCGAATTAGAATGTTTTTTTTGGGCAAAGCTAGCCATCATTCTGTTAAGAGCTTTTTTTTTATTTTACTTTGATGTTAAAGGACCGAAGTGGTCATGACCTTGATCAAGGCTGGATTGCCAGTTGGCAATCACGATGAGAACTTGTAGGAACTTTTCAAGCTGGTTTTGGGGTACAAAGCCCTGGATGTCATAGAAAATGCATTAAGTTATTGTATGCCAAAAATGGTAGAATTTAGAGTCTGTTTAAGGTCTAAACTGACCAAGACCTTGGTCAAAGCAGAGCCCAACAGCCAGAGACCACTATCAAAACATTATATGACATTTTTCAAGTACTTTTATTCACAAAGCCTTGGATTCAATCATTCAACTGGAAAGGGGTAAATGACCTGTACATTGCAAATGGTTGAGTTTTGAGTCCATTGAAGACTCAAACATACTAAGATTTCAGTCAAAACTTAGCTTAACATGCCGAGACCGCAGTAAAAAATGATATCCTCTTTTCCAATCTACATTTGGGTGATGACCATAGGTATGAAGATGGTCAGGTTTCCAACCATTTTGGAGAACCAGCTCACGGTCAAAACCTAACTTATTATGCTGAGACCTTTGTGAAAACTATATTTAGTGTGTCAATTCGGGAAAAATTCTCTTCGTTTATGTCACTCTTTGAGGCATGGGCCAAGCCTTTTTTAAGAGGGGCGCAGTTTGATAATGGAGAGGAGGTTGGTTATCATGATGCCAAACCTTGGCAAATTTGCAAGGTTCAAAGATAATGTATGAGACTGGACAGAAGAAAAATTGTGTTATTCTCAATATGTCTCCTTTGTTTAACTTTCATTTAACTCATTATAACTCTTATACAAAGTGTAAGAGCGAAGTTGTGTTTTCTCCTTCTTTCATGTATGTCTTGCTTGATTTGCTTTGCTTTTTGAAATTTGTAAACCAAATCCAAAAATATGACATTCAATATAACTTTCTTCACACACACGTACACTCACGAGAGAGAGAGAGAGAGAGATCTTGTTGATGAATATCTGAACATTTACTAGGGGCTTTGTAACTCAATTATTTGCAAGGTTTCTACCAAGGAAAGCACATTCTGCTTTTGTCATTGTGAAGCAGAGTTTCAATCAAAAGTCATACATAAACATGCCCATTCAATGTAGAAAAACTCAGGATCCCTTGGTACAAGTTTACAGCTACTTGTTCATATTCAATGTAGAAAAACTTAGGCACCCTTTTAGTACAACTTTAAAACATTCTGTAAGAGCCTTTTTTATTTTACTGTTGCTTTTTTGTAGGATTTGGTTATTTATAATTTACATTTTCATCATCTTTAGTAGAAAAGAGGATGAAAATGTAAATTCTAGTGCACCAAATAGTTGGGATAAGGCTTTGATGATGATGACGATCCTCTTTTCTACTAGATAATTGCATTTCTATTCTTAGTTTGCTTTCACTTTGTTTTGAATTTCTGTATTATTTAATGGTAATGCACTGTATGCATTCTTCTTATTTGTTGTCTATTTAAATCCATCAAGTGCGATTAATGTTTTATAAATGTCTTATGTGCCAGTGAATTATGTGGACAGTTATCTGAATATCTCATGTTCCTTTGCTGTTTTGACTTGATTTTCTCTTATATCCTCTCCATATGTGTCATTTTTTTATCATTTCTATTGAATGCTTGGTTGATTGTCTATTATTGTAAATTCTCACTACACTAGATGGTTCACGTATTAGAACTTCTTTTCTTTAGGATCTAAATCTAAGGATGTTTGCAAATAGTAACAAGGAAGATAATCTTAGGAAGAGTAAGAAACTCAAAGCGACTCTGCTATGTGCCCATGCGGCATGTATCGTGGCAGCTGAGTATGTCAAACTACCTATTCCTTTTAGAGGATCACCTACGAGAAAAGATTGACAACATTGTCAATACCACTGATGTCAATTATCGTAACCAGGTACGAATGTCCCGGGGAATGTATTGGAGATTGGAATACGTGATAGAGTGATGCCTGTTACAGGACACCATGGGGGTAATTGTGCGAGAATAGTTGGTCATATTCTTGCATACCAGAAGTCACAACCTGACAAATAGAAAAATGGGAAATTTCGTACAGAACTAATTCCCCATCTTATTTCATCGTAGACCCTCCTTCCATTTTTCTTTCAAGCGGCGTAAAAAAATCCCAAAGGATTTCACCGTACCCCCTCATCTCTTATCTCCCTCATTTATTCACTTTTGACCATAAAAATTAGCCCCAACAAACCTTTTTATACCATTTCAATCCAATATGAGCGAGAGAGATAGGGAGCCCTCAACATGTCATTGAGGGGCTGAAAAGGCAAAAATTTAATAAAAAAAGATTTTTGAAACATTTTTGGGTTAAAAGATATAATGGGGTGGGAGATATAATGGGGTGTGTTAAAAACGTTTTCGGGTTAAAAGAGTTTTTGAAACGTTTTTGAAACATTTTTGGTTGAAATGGTATAAAAAGGTTTGTTGGGGCTAATTTTGTGGTCAAAAGTGAATAAATGAGGGAGATAAGAGATGAGGGCGTACGGTGAAATCCTTAAGGATTTTTTTATGCCGCTTGAAAGAAAAATGGAACGAGGGTCTACCATGGAATAAGATGGGGAATTGGGGTTCTGTACGAAATTTTCCCTAGAAAAATTGCACATGACTTTGGTCTCTTGGGCGAGACTCTTAAGTTGGCATTTAATAGTGCTTTGAATGCAATATCAGCCCTCCATTGTGACTTCATTAGGCCACCAACGATGGAGACCGCCCCTGAAATTGGCAAAGATCTGACATTTAATCAATATTTTAGGTACTGCATGTGAAAACTCACATGTTGTGTTCTACATGTGGTGTTCTACCTCAATTAGTTATATGAACTATATTCAATCATAGGATTGCCTTGGAGCCATCGACAACACCCACCTCCTAGTAACAATTACCAATGGTGTGCGTGCCAAATACCGTAACAAGAAGGGATTCTTATCCCAAAATATTATGGGATTGTCATCCATTGATTTAGAATTTCAATATGTCCTTGTAGGGTGGGAGTGCTCTACCGTGGATTCCAGGGTTCTATCAAATACATTGGAGGGTGGGAGGGCTCTCTCTGTTTCCCTTGAGCTAGGTCGATCACTTCAGTAATGTTCTCCCTTATTAAGAGAATCAGAAATAGATATATGGTTTATTGTATTTGGTAGTTGACATTTATTAGAAATTTTCCCAAAAGAAAAAGTAATATGAAAATTACGAATCATGAGATGCCCATGAAAATTCACTTCCATAGCCCTCAGAGCAGGGCCTTGAATCATCCATTTAAGCTCTAGGAATAGTGTTTTTATACGGAACTTTCTCTCTCATTATATGTGATCCTGAGAAAGTCTCATCAGTGTTTGGGTTTCAATATTCCATAGTTGGCGAGGGTTGAGACCTTATAGTATTCTATCATAAGGAAGGATAGTATTCTATCATAAGGAAGGAGTTAACAGCCACAGGCATTCCGTTTGTTTTTGCCCAACATTGAGATAGTGGATCCTTTTTAACTGCGACTTGTATTTTAACATTTAAATGCCAAGTGTACTCTTATTTTTGCAAGAGCATATGATTTTATTAGGGGGAGTACCTTGGAATCACCTTTGAAGCAAGATCATTGCTCAACACAAGATTTCTGGAATGAAGGTTTCAACTTGGTCAAAGTATTCCCCACCTTAAAGGGTTCACAATGCTGCTTGCAGCTTACCTTGCTTAGATGGCATATTCAGCTCTTTGATTTATCAACTCTGAATCCCATGTACTTAAAATGGATGAAATGTTATTATGGGTGTGATGTTCCTCTTTCGTTTTTTTTTAGACCTCCCTATGATAGTTTTCTTTACCTACTTACTAGAAAAATGGTTTTTACTCATGTTGCTTCTTGTGGATCGTTCCCACCCTTGAGTTGCTCCTCATTTGTTATCTCAATTGCAATTTCATCTTAGGTACTATGGACATTCCATTACCATTGGATAAGATTTCTTTTCAAGTCATTGATCAAGTTGTGCCTACAGATGTTGTTGCAAAGTAAGTAGGCCTATGTTTGCTCTAATTTAGATCATTCTTTGTTCAGGGCAAATGCCTTTGTATGTGTGCATGCAGTGCAGTTTTCATATGTTGCATTACAGTATCCATTTTAATGTACAGCAACATGATGGTAGGACCTCTCATTTACTGTCCTTATAAATGCTCATACTTACTGTATGCTGTTTATTTTGCACAAGAAAAAAGTTAAAAGGTAACACTGTGATTCCTACCTGTTTGTGTCCTTTGAATGTATACAATTCTATGCTCTAGTTTCTTAAGTCACGGATTTTTATTTTTGATATAAAATAAAAAAATTTGATCTAAATACGGCCAGACATCTTATATATACTTATATGTTTGTAGAATTGTGTGTTAGCTCATGCATGTGTTTTCATACACGCATGTGCACAAATAGAAACAAGATGCATAGGCAGACACAGACAGCAACTTGGATGCTCTTGTTTGATTGGGTACTAATGTCAAACATGAACTTGATTTAGAAATGCTTGGACTGAATCACTGAATAACCCTATGTCAATGCCCATGTCTGCTTTTTGTAGTACCTGGTTTTCATTTCTCCTTATATGTCTTCTTCATGGCAATCTTTTACTCGTTCTTGACTTGGATAAAATGTGATTTGTTGAGATCATGAGGCTTGAATTCTTTTATTTCTATTTATTGTATCTTTGTTTTAACACAAATTGTTTCCTACTACAATTAGAATGCGAGGCACAATATTGATATTCTAAGATCCTAGGTTTTAGTCCTAGCATTGCCCACCAGAATACCCGATCAGCTGGATCTAGTCATCTGCAATTGCTTGCGCTCTGCCCTAACAATCATGAAATTCTAGAAAATGATCAAAATATCCTCAAACAGGCTGCGCACTTCCTTGAGCAAACAGGTTACTAATGTGCCATGGAGACCCACTCTTTTGTCTAACCACGACTATTGAGCATTGACAACACTTAAGGGCATTCCGTTCAGTCACAAGTGATTGCAAAATATGCTGCTCATAGCTACATGCATCTCCAAGGGTCTTTAAGGACTAGAATGGTAGAGAATAGCATTCATCCGTAATATTTTTTCTGTAAAGCTCTCCTCGTCTTTGAAGCTTCCCCCACCATAGCTACATTTGACACCCTGATGTGGAGAGTGGGAGATAGGATGGGCTTGGTCATGACCCTCGAGGTTTCATACTAGCGGAAATGCCACTCATTGGTCATGATTGATTACTTCAATCAACACACCTTTGTCTCATGTTGTCATTTGGCGAACTCTTAAGGATTTTTACAAAGTATGAGCCAATAATAAGTGGTGAGAGATTGGTAATATCCTTACTTTTTATGTTCATATTCGATAACCTAAGGGTTTGTTAGACAACAACAAATTTTATTGGAAATAGACTATTTTGTCTAATATATTTTACATAACATTACTTTGGGTTGCTGTGTGGTTGTTACCATTTGTTCTGTAATATACTATTCAGGTAGTTGTTTCGGACCCTGATCCAAACTTCTACATATTGAAAATAGGCCATGGTCTTAACCTTCAAACCTCCATACTCTAGTCTTCGATGATTTTATTTAGTGCATAATCTTCATTTGCTCTGGAAAAGACCAACAAAAGAAAATAAAAAATGAAACTAAAAGTAAATGAATATGGGTGGATAATTTCATATACGCCAGTAACTGCTGATGGGTATACCACTGATCAAAAGGAGTGGGATAGCTTAATCCACTTCTTCTTTCTCCGCCTCCCTCCTATCTCTCTCTCTCTCTCTCTCTCTCTCTCTCCATATCTTTCAAAATAAGGCAAAAAGTCTTCAGATATTTCTTCTTCTAGAATTAGTGAATAAGTCCTTTCACAAAATTGTTAAATGAGCTCAAAATTATCAAGAAATGAACCGAGTAAAACCCTCCTTTTCCCTTTTTAGTCGTACAATACTACACTTGAATTGTCCCAATCCCTGACACATCCCTTGTCTATAAGATCCGAAAAGGGGAAATACACTCATATGCTATTGCAAAATTGAAGGAAGACATCATCTATTTATCTAAAGCAACTGTGGGTCCATACACATCAGGTTTCCCATTCAGTTTTAGCAGTAGTGCCTGATTGAACCAGTGACCACCTACACCCACTGCCTTAATCTCATCTTCATAAGTTGTGGGCTATATCTTGGGCCAAAGAAGCTGCTGTGACGGCGCTCCAGTGATAAAGAAGAATCTAGCAGTGAGCGTTGCCAATAGAGTCATCGTACTAGTTAAGGTCAAGAAAATGCTTGCTAGTGCCTAGGCGACCAAGGGAGTTCTGGCTGCCTAGGCAGGTGGTATCTTGGTTTTTGGGTGGTGCCCTAGACTTGAAACATTAGGTTTGAGAAAAGCTAGGTTTGTTTCCTCCAAGGTTAAAAAAAAAGGGTATAAAATTCCACCAATGTTAAAAAGGTTAGGTTTAAGATGATTTCTGAAACCTCTTGAATTTTTTCAATCTCCAAAAAATTTTAGAAATCCAATGACTATGTACTTTATTGCTTCCAACAGCCCTTAGTCAAGTTTGAGGGTGGTTAAGAGTACCCTTCCCCCCCTTAAAAAGGGGAAAAGACATAAATGAGCTTTGGGCGAGAGCAATTTCCGCCCTTAGGCAAGGGGCAACTGAGGCACCGTAGGACTGGCAATGGGCTGGTCAGCCTGGCCCTAAAAAGTAGGGCCCCCCAAGCAGGCTAGGGCAAGTGCTGGCCTGGTTCTGCCCGGCCTGGCCATCTTTTTTTCATGTTTTTTCTTTTGTTTTTTCTTCATTTGTTTTTGTCCTGTCCCGGCCATAATAGGGCTAGGGCTGGCCCTATGGGGACAAGGGCAGGCTAGGGCTAATGCCGGCCTGGCTCGGGCATGTTGCTACCCTGCGAGGTGGGTGCCTCAGCTTAGGCGCAAGGCTCCCACCCCAGGGACATGGTGCTCAGGGGGGTCCTCCAAGGCCTATGCAAAATGCTCTGGCCCCCCAGTCGGGGCAGATGGTCACCTAGGCTCTAGACGGGTGATTTTCTTCAACATTGGTACTAGTGATTGATGACATAGTATAGATGGAGATCAGGGAGTGTATTAGAGAGGCAGTGAACCTCAGAGCTCCTAACAAAAACCCAAGTCCTATGCACCTCTGTAACCCATCAAGATCCTCGTTTGTAATGCTCTTACTCCATTTGCTATTATCCTTGCTCAATCATGCTTCTTCTCTATGATAATCACTTAATAATAACCGCCATTTACAGAGTCCACCAAAATCTCCTTTAACCCTCATTACCTCCCCCAAAATTGTTAAATTTTGGCCCGTCTTTGCTGCCCCTGCATAACTTAGCAAGCTCTGATACTTGGAGCTTTTTCCACTTCATTAATCCCTCCAAATGGGGCTGGGCTTTTTAGACCTTCTTTCTTGCTCCCCCCCCCCCCTCCAAAAAAAAAAAGAAAAGAAGAAAAGAAAAGAAACAAAAAAATAACAACAAGCAAAAAAGCCACCTTTCCAAAACCATCGGTTTTCCTACAATTCCCTACAGAACCACCATGCTTTGGTTTAAATTGGAGCAGCATCTGGTTTTCACCCAAAACTGCTTTTGGTTTTAAGGATGAAGTTCTTTTGGCCATGGCAGCAGCTTTCTTGTACCATGTGATCGGAGATTTAACAGCTGGAGAACTAGAATCGCAGGAGATTTGTGTGATGGAGAATGTGGAAATAGCGATTAAGGCACTTGGGGATTTTAAAGAATGGAACTACTGTTTGGATGGAGAGGAAAGGGTATTGAGAGTGCAGAGATGAAGCACCAAAGGTTTGTTGGGATTATGAGTTCATTTAATGTGATTGGGTATTTGGTGCAGGCGAGTGGTTTTTGGGATCATGAAACTGCTCTAGGTGGTGGTTTCTCAGAGCTGAACTAGATTGGTGCCAGGCTGTCAGCAGAATGAAATCCCTTTCTCTTTCTAAACACAAAAGACATGCATTCTCCATCTGAACCCCTCACTGAAGGATAACTTTATATTAAATAAAGTAAAAGGTTCTTTTTTGGACGATTGCACGTTATATAGAGGAAAATAACAAACAAAATTTTTATCGCAAATACAGGTATAATATATGCTACAAAACACTAAAGAAGTCTTTATATTTAGTATTTCTTTTGTAACAGTGAATTATTGGTGACAATGGATGCATCCAAAGAAGCCTAAGTTTAATTTTTAATGTGCGACTCCTTATGCTATTTAGTTCTAAATTTGATCTATGCTATTTTGGTGTTCAATTGTTATCTTTTACCTTGAAGTTCGCCATGGGATGATTCATGCTTGTTTATGTGAGTTCAGTTCTCCTGTATGAAGTAAAACATTAATTTTAAATGTTTATGCTATTTATAATTTATGAAAAATATGTAGGCAAGGTGGAATGTTTATGTAATATACATGTAAATTGTGGAAAAGGCTTTGATGATGATGATGATACATGTAAATTGTGGAAGCTATACATGGATATTAATCTCATATTTTCTGCTCATAAGTCTAGGAAAAGAACTTATGTTGTTCTGGTATCAACTGGAAGTTTCAACCCCCCAACTTATATGCACTTGCGCATGTTTGGTAAGTTCATTGTCATAGATAAGTCTCATTTTCTTTCTTTCGAGTATTCAGAAGCTTCAGTTCCTGTGTATATGGTAACCAAAAGCTAACAAGAAATATGCAAACAGAGAACTTGATGTTTCCCATGTTGGTGATTTTTTAGTAGCACTTACAGATAAAGATTAAGAACAACAACCCCCCCCTGCAGGCTGATTAAGAAGCCTATTGTCTATATTTATTTATTTCTTGGGACTATCAAATTAGGTGGAGCTTGTAGAAGTGTTAACATATGATTTTCTTAAAAGCAGTATTTCTTTTCTTCTCTGAATAATGTAGGCTCTCTTTGTGTTTATCAACTCATCTTTTTGATGCTTCTGCAATGTCCTCCTTATTTCTGAGTTAATCAGTCTTTTTCACTGGGAATCTGGCTTAAGTGCTTTGGACGGACCCTTGAAATTTTCCTTTGTTTACCTTCAGTATCTGAATCCTGTTGTGGGTGAGCACTGTGGGAGACCTGCTAAATATCATGTCTGACTGCTGCCTCTGCAGAGATAGGGGTCAATATGTGATTGTCTCGTAAGATCATGACCTGAGCAAGGTTAAAAAAAAGTGGCACTACATCTCTATAATGGCCATATGCTTTTACGGTTAAATACCAACTTAATGGTTGTAATGCCAGTATTTAGAAAGATTAAATGCTTTTATAATGGCTTTGAACTGTTGTTGTATAATCAGTCATTTATAATGTTGGCTTTTGCGTTTTTAACATTCTTGGACCTGAGAACTAAGAGGCTACCATACTATCCATCCATCATGGGTTGGTTGATCAAGATTAGAGCAGGCATTATAGTGCTGAGAAGCCCTTTCAGCTCCGATCATCACCGTTTGCATTGGGTTTCTTTGGGCCCCCCTAGTTGAGTAGGGTTCTCGTGGCAAAGGACTGCCTTAATTACCTCTAGGGTTCCACAATTCTGCTCACCTTTCTGGCATCGAAATCTATGTTACTCCCTCCTCTTTTACTCCACTATTTTTACTGTACTTCCTGTCTTTTGTTTATCCATTTTATTTATTTATTTGCTGGATTAGATTTGAAAATACAAATGGAAGCAACTAATTCATTGACATGGATTTGATAAGAGAAGCTTGATTTGGCATCACACTGACTTTTTTATAATGTTTATTTTGGGTTTACAACATTTATTATTTTAAATCTTCCATTGTTTGAAATTATCCTTATTTAGTTTTCTTGATTTAATTCAATATTATTAATTTCAACATTCTTTTAAGGTAACTTTTTTTTCCCCACAGAATTGGCAAGAGATGCCCTGAACTCTGAAGGCTATGTGGTTATCGGTGCTTACATGTCACCTGTCAATGATGCATACAAGAAAAAGGTATTGGTAACCTTTCCTTAAATGGTTTAATTCTATGCGAATGGCTGTGAAAACCAATCCTTGTTTCAAAGTAATGTGATTCTCAGTATCTTTTCTGTAGGACCATGCATGCATTATGTAATCCTCATAAATGTTTTTTGAAAGATGCACAATCAGATCCCAAGTTGTAAAGCTTTGGAAAGGAAAAATCTGTCATTAGTTAAAATGGAAAGTGAGTTATACCATGCTTAGAAGGCATAAAGTACTCTTATTGGGGTTTATCTGAAATATAATTCGACTTTATCCCATTCTTTTCTTTTGGGCTATGTTTTCTGAAGATATCAACAAGCTGAAGCAGGTGGGGATATGCAGAAATGGAGTCAAATGCGATAGTGGAAACTAGAAAAGATAGTTTGGTGGAAGTTTTGCAGAGAGGAGTTCATCTTAGGTGCAACCTTGGTTGAAACAACCAAAATCCAATGCAATCTGAAGTTGTTTCAACCAAGATGTAAAATTTCGTCGAAACCTCTTTTGCATTTGCCCCAAGGCTGTAAAACGTTTGGCATAAAGTAATAACATTTTGGCAGAGGTGAGGCAATAAATGAAAAAAATTAGGTATTGTGTTGTAATTATTTTTTTCCCAAATTTAATAATATATTTTCACACAATAAGGAATTAGAAAGGAGGAAAGTACAAAGCGACAATAAAGCAAGATCGAATAGTATCGGTTTCTACATCACAGTTTGCCAATGCACGGCAGCCTTAGATTTGAAATATTCAACTGCCTAATAGATTTAATACAAGGAAACTATAACTCTATGTCATGTTAAAGATTTTGATACGAGTTACTCATGAATAATGGAACGTAGAATTGGTATTAATACAACTGAAATGACTGGCAATTCAGAAATTAATTGAGAGTAACTTTCAACAAATTATTGTTGTATAAAGTTAACCTTCTTTAAATTTTTTTTTTTATTGTTGTATGTCCATTTTTGGAGGTTTGGTTGGTTGGTTATAAGTATTGCTGGAAAGCAATGCTTATTTTCGAAATAGCAGTGCTGAAACATGGTTTAGCCAAAACAGCTCTAATATCTTGGTTTTCTTGTGTAAAGGTGAAGCTTTACAAATCCCTTGCGAGGTGATGTTATATTGGAAAAGTGGAGCACCAATCTACCAAATTGTTAGAAAGGGGGTCTACCATCTAGTTTAGTTTGTGACTACAATGCCATCATTTATCTGGCCTATGAACCCATACTTCAATTGTTTTTATCTATGGAGCCTTGAGTAAATTATCTGTGTCCCTTTTATATGCAAAGAGTTGAGATATGTGAATTCTGATGGTAAAAGAAGGAAAAGTGATCATTATCTGACATAAGGTCAGTACTAACAAGTCATACTTCAATTGTTTTATCATTGTTTTATCTATGGAGGCTTGAGTACTTCAGCTGTGTCATTTTTATATGTAAAGAGAGAGATGTGAATTCTGATGGTAAAAGAAGGAAAAAGAATCATTATCTGACATAAGGTCATTACTAACAAGTTCTTGGGGAGATTTCATGGTGGCCTTGGGTGATAATCTGGTGCTCTCAATTTCTACGATTACATGTGATGCATTTTGGCTGCATGTTGCCATTTCTTAATTTTATTTGCAAATGGTCCATTTTGTCTGTTAATTGCCTTTAAAGTTGAAGAACATATCTTATGTTTCTAGAAAGAGGTACACGCTATAAGAGGCAATCCTGTGTTTTGCTTTCTTGTTTCCATGAAATTAGAACTATTCTAATTGGTTGTCCTTCTTTAGGGCTTAATATCAGCCGAGCATAGGATCCAGTTGTGTGAGCTTGCTTGTCAGAGTTCTACATTTATAATGGTAGATCCATGGGAGGTAATTAGTGTTTCTGATTATAATTTCCCAATTGATTCCATAGTGATGTCCTAGATAATTTCTAAGTAGCAAGCATGGAGGACTTGTTTATAGGAAGATTCGTTTTCTTTTATGAAAATATTTGACACAATATAACGGATGTAAACAATTCTCTATCCTTAGAAAGTCCATTGCCCTATGGTTTCTATATTCCCGGCAGACTAGGCATAGTGTCCTGAAATTGTTGCTGTCATGTTGCAATAAGAGTGGCATCATTGGCAATGAGAAAACAAAGGATAGCGATTAATGAATCTAAAATGTGAATACAGATATAGAATGAGAAAACTGAAGGGGGAGGCTATACGCCATGGTATTTTATGTCCCCAAACTTGTGCCTCTATCCTATCATCTATGCTTTCATTTGCAACTTGCTATGTTTCATATATGAGCTCTAGCACATGCTGAGTCTTCTTCTTCTTCCTCTTTTTTTTTTTTGGGATACTACAGCAACCAGATTAGTTTTTTCTCTTTCCTGTTTAAGTGAGCCCATACCTTACAGGTTTGATTCATCTCTTAGCTCTAGAGAAGCATGGTGAAATTGGAATTTGGTGTGTTTTGCTTTGATTAAGCCCACATGTTTGATTAATTTCTTACACTAGTGTAGCATGGTGAAATTGGTATTTGGTGTGTTTTGCTCTGATTAATCACGATTTGGCGCAGTCATCTGCCGAACTTTCTTTCTCTTTTGTTATTGCCTGATTTGGCGCAATTGCCCTATTATGGTGTTGTAAAATAATGTGCTAATTATTTTTTCTATTAATGAAAAGTCGGGTAGGGGGCCATCTCCCCCACTGACTTACCCAAAAAAAAAGGAAAAAGAACAAAAAGCATGTTTATCCATGGCTGTAAAATACATATTGATAATATTAGTGATGTGAGCTTTAATTTTTATATTTGAATCTAAAAGTGCTGTCTGTACTACTTCTCTTGTAATTTCGTAATCACTTTGTTGTTACTGAATTAATTGTTTGTCCCAATAGTTATCATGGTATATAGCATTTTTATTTCTTCTGAAGTTGTTGTGGGTCTTTACAAGGTAGGCCAAGCAGAGCAGCTATCAACGCACTTTGACAGTCTTGGATAGAATCCAAGGGTTCTTGCATGAAAATCGAATTCAACTTGTAGGTAATTTGCATATTCACGTCTTTCTATGGATTTGGTTTACAATTTTGAGAGAGCATATTTATATTTGCTCGCTGCATTATTGTAAAGGGCGGATTCGGTGCCCAGGCAGGCACCCAGATTCCTGGACAACCCTAAAGTGGTGGTGGTAGTTGTTTGAGGGCAGAGCAAGAGAGAGAGAGAGAGAGAGAGAGAGAGAGAGAGAGAGAGAGACGCCTCCCTAGTGAGCTACGTAGGTACGGTCTTACTTTTCTTTCTTTTCCGTTCGTTACTTAGTAGTTAGAGTAGTATAGTAGGAGAGAGAGAGAGAGAGAGAGAGA